TTAACTCCACGCCTCTTGTCAAGACCCTCGCATTTACTTCTCTTACAACCCCATCTATAAATATATTAAACAACCACGGTGACATCACACATCCTTGTCTAAGGCCTACTTTTACTGGGAAATAATTTCCCTCTTTCCTATGTACTCTAACTTGAGCCTCACTATCCTCGTAAAAACTCTTCACTGCTTTCAGTAACCTACCTCCTACACCATACACCTGCAACATCTGCCACATGCCCCCCTATCCACCCTGTCATACACCTTTTCCAAATCCATAAATGTCACAAAAACCTCTTTAGCCTTATCTAAATACTGTTCACTTATATGTTTCACTGTAAACACCTGGTCCATGCACCCCCTACCTTTCCTAAAGCCTCCTTGTTCATCTGCTATCCTATTCTCAGTCTTACTTTTAATTCTTTCAATAATAACTCTACCATACACTTTACCAGGTATACTCACAGACTTATCCCCCTATAATTTTTGCACTCTCTTTTGTCCCCTTTGCCTTTATACAAAGGAACTATGCATGCTCTCTGCCAATCCCTAGGTACCTTACCCTCTTCCATACATTTATTAATAATTGCACCAACCCCTCCAAAACTATATCCCCACCTGCTTTTAACATTTCTATCTTTATCCATCAATCCCGGCTGCCTTACCCCCTTTCATTTTACCTACTGCCTCACAGAACTTCCCCCACACTCACAACTGGCTCTTCCTCACTCCTACAAGATGTTATTCCTCCTTGCCCTATACACGAAATCACAGCTTCCCTATCTTCATCAACATTTAACAATTCCTCAAAATATTCCCTCCATCTTCCCAATACCTCTAACTCTCCATTTAATAACTCTCCTCTCCTATTTTTAACTGACAAATCCATTTGTTCTCTATCTCTAGGCTTCCTTAACTTGTTAATCTCACTCCAAAACTTTTTCTTATTTTCAACAAAATTTGTTGATAACATCTCACCCACTCTCTCATTTGCTCTCTTTTTACATTGCTTCACCACCACCTCTCTTTTTCTCCATATACTCTTCCCTCCTTGCATCACTTCTACTTTGTAAAAACTTCTCATATGCTAACTTTTTCTCCCTTGCTACTCTCTTTACATCATCATTCCACCAATCGCTCCTCTTCCCTCCCGCACCCACTTTCCTGTAACCACAAACTTCTGCTGAACACTCTAACACTACATTTTAAACCTCCCCATACCTCTTCGACCCCATTGCCTATGCTCTCATCAGCCCATCTATCCTCCAATAGCTGTTTATATCTTTCCCTAACTGCCTCCTCTTTTAGTTTATAAACCTTCACCTCTCTCTTCCCTGATGCTTCTATTCTCCTTGTATCCCATCTACCTTTTACTCTCAGTGTAGCTACAACTAGAAAGTGATCTGATATATCTGTGGCCCCTCTATAAACATGTACATCCTGAAGTCTACTCAACAGTCTTTTATCTACCAATACATAATCCAACAAACTACTGTCATTTCGCCCTACATCGTATCTTGTATACTTATTTATCCTCTTTTTCTTAAAATATGTATTACCTATAACTAAACCCCTTTCTATACAAAGTTCAATCAAAGGGCTCCCATTATCATTTACACCTGGCACCCCAAACTTACCTACCACACCCTCTCTAAAAGTTTCTCCTACTTTAGCATTCAGGTCCCCTACCACAATTACTCTCTCACTTGGTTCAAAGGCTCCTATACATTCACTTAACATCTCCCAAAATCTCCCTCTCTCCTCTGCATTCCTCTCTTCTCCAGGTGCATACGGTAAAACTATACTCTAATACATTCCCCTCTTTGCTTACAAGGACAAAGTTCTTTGTCTCCACAGACTCCTAAGTGCATCGCTCACCCTTTTCCCCTCATCAATTCTATGATTCACCTCATCTTTCGTAGACCTATCTGTTGACACGTCCACTCCCAAATATCTGAATACATTCACCTCCTCCATACTCTCTCCCTCCAATCTGATATCCAATCTTTCATCACCTAATATTTTTATCCTCATAACCTTACTCTTTCCTATATTCACTTTTAATTTCCTTCTTTTACACACCCTACCAAATTCATCCACCAATCTCTGCAACTTCTCTTCATAATCTCCCAAGAGCACAGTGTCATCAGCAAAAAGCAACTGTGACAACTCTTCTTTTTCATTTTTTTCAGCAAACTGGCCGTATCCCACCAAGGCAGGGTGGCCCAAAAAAACAAAACAAAAGTTTCTCTTTTTAAATTTAGTAGTTTATACAGGAGAAGGGGTTACTTGCCCCTTGCTCCTGGCATTTTAGTTGCCTCTTACAACACACATAGCTTACGGAGGAAGAATTCTGTTCCACTTCCCCATGGAGATAAGAGGAAATAAACAAGAACAAGAACTAGTAAGAAAATAGAAGAAAACCCAGAGGTGTGTATATATATATGCTTGTACATGTATGTGTAGTGTGACCTAAGTGTAAGTAGAAGTAGCAAGACGTACCTGAAACCTTGCATGTTTATGAGACAAAAAATGGACACCAGCAATCCTACCATCATGTAAAACAATTACAGGCTTTCGTTTTACACTCACTTGGCAGGACGGTAGTACCTCCCTGGGCGGTTACTGTCTACCAACCTACTACCTAGGAACTCTTCTTTTATACTCTAATATTCCATTGCACAATTGATAAGATTATTATTACAGCACAAAAACAAATGATAAAGTCAAAATGAAGAGGTTGCAGGGTCAATTTTTAGTTCCTGGCCCTGCCACTCCTCAGATTACTCCCTCTTAAGACTTGTGGGCCCTATTTGTACCTATTCTTAAAACTATGTATGGAGTCTAACTACTCCAGTTTCTCATTAAGATCATTCCACTTCCCGACCACTGAGAATGAAGAAATACAGTGTTGCTTCGATATTTGAACTTAATCCATTTCAGGAGACTGTTTGAATAGTGAGTGGTATGAATACTGAATCCATTTTTCCCATTAGAAATAATCTAAATTTTATTAATACATTCCAGACTCTCAAAAATTACTAATTATCAAACATTTTAAGTGAAAATATTGCTTATTTAAACCTGTATAATAATATTTGCATGTATAAAATCCTACATGAAAACTATAAAAGCAATAAATACATAAAATAACTGAAAATTGAACTACACTTTACCTTTACTGAGGAGTGTTGATGGCTTAAGAGGAAGGTGGAGATATGTTATTGTTTGGAAAGGGTGTCACCTTCCATAAAAACATCAGGTAACTGCCTGTTTGGTGTTTTTTCTTTTTTTCCTGTCCCTGTGCAGTAGCACTTGATGATAGGGATTCATTAGCATGATTTTTTTTCCTTTGCTAAGGAAGCTGTCCAATGTTGTCTGCTTTTGACGACTTTCCACAATTTTTCTAAAGTGGTCAACAACATTGTCACTGAACAGGCTGATGCTCCTATTCCACTGTACTTCCTAACATCATTGTGACTCATTTACGCCTTTAACTTCCAATGGTGTCCCCTGGTTCCCATTTTTTACCTCTAAAACAGCCTATTCTTAACTCCCTTATCAATTCCCCTGAGTATTTTGTGTTATCATCATGTACCCCTTGGTTCTTCTGTCCTCCAATGTCATCAGGTCCAATTCCTTTAGACTCTCCTCGTAGCTCATGCCCCTTAGCTCAGAGATAAGCCTTTCTGCATACTTCTGGACTTTCTCCAGTTTGGTATTTCTCATTTTGTTACTGCTAAAAGTTTGGATTTAAGTGGAGAGATGTGATATACAATACATGAAAGGCAATGACGATCAAGAACATGTAGCTGGGTTAAGGCATTAGATATTGCATAATTATACTCGTGAGAAGAGCTAAACCTTTTAAGGAATGTTATCGTAATGTTGGTGTCAGTATCGTGTGGAAAGTTTGATACCTAAATCTTATCAAGGGTCCACAGCATTGTCCTTGTTTAAGATAATGTTTGTCAAAAAAAAATTTCTGGACCTATCTCTTCAGAGAAATGCCACTGTATTTTCTACCATGCGAGGTTGAGGAAATGTATGGCTGTGTAAGTTAAGTAAGAGGATAGAGTAGAAAGAAGTGGCACTGGTGATTTCTGAGCAGGTGTGTGAAGGGCCAGTCCAGTCTTGGTAGCAAGTGGCCTCTGAGGGGTGAGACTAACCTGTCACATCTGGAAGGGCAAGAGACAAGAGTAGTGTGCATGTAGATCTACTATATCCCATATCTATTATTACTGAATTATCTTCATGGAAACCTTTACTTTTATATTCATGGGGAAGAGCTAAACTAATAAAGGCCATACAGCACCATGAGAATAGGAGGCAATCAGGTTTGATCTAAGGAAGGAAAGAGTGGCTTTAGTTCCTTGACTCTAGTCCTTCACCAGCAATATCATCTCCCTGGCAGGGATGTGTGTATCTTTATACCCTCTTTAGTTAAGTTTGACACTTGAAATTTTTTACACCTCATTCCTATATAATGTACCTGGAATATCTGTAGTTTGATAAACACCAAAAATATAATACAGCCTCTGCTCACTTAGTGACGTACTTGTTTACCAACGACTTGGACTTAAAATGGGCTCTGACCTGTATGTATGCCTAAATAATGTATATTAGAGCTGATTTCCTCTATTCTGTTTATAAACATTTAAAAATATACCAGAAATGTTATAAATGGTGTAAAGTTGACATTAAAACAATATTAAAGATGGCTGACATAAACCCACTACCATTATAGGTTGCTCCTCACTTAGTGATGTATTTGTTTACCGAATGTGGTCTTAGGAACAGAACTCTATTGTTAAGTGAGGACAGGCTGTACTTTCATACATGTGTATGAAGGTCATCCAATGGTAATTGTTTAAGCTGACTGTTTCCCCACCGAGGTAGGACGACCCTAAAGGAAATATATTTAACATCGTTCATTTAATACAATCCAACTTGCACTCTCATCTGCACTGCTCTTAAATAAAATTTTGGCTTATGAAGTCACATTCACAGCAGAGTATTTTAATGGTTGAAATTACAGCATAGCTTGATACAAATTTGGCAAGCAATTCTGAAGACATCATACTGTACTTAATGTTCACCGTCCTTAAGCATTTTCTATACATTTAACTCTTTGAGGGTCCGTCCCGTAGTTCTACAGCTTTGAAGCCAGGGTCCAAGCCATAGTCCTATGCCGTGAGCTCAGCTCACTCAGATAAGCTGTGAGTGGTAAATTTGGGCTTAGATATGAGAGAATGCTTCTATGTGAAAAGTGTGCACCATATAAAACAAATCCTGCAGCACACAGTGCATGAGAAAAACAAGAGATCGTGTTTTTTTATTTAAACAGCGACTTTGCAGTGTATTTTTGTATGTTTTTTTATGGATATATTCACGGTTTCTTGGTCTTGCTTGATAAAATGGAAGATATATGTATTACAGAATTCAAGATGATTCTGATTGGTTTTAGTACTGAAAATAGCTTGAAACTGAGCTGAAAGTAGTGAAAATGTTCGAATTTAGCCGATATTCAAGAGCAAACAAATGACGTCATGCGTCCAATACACGTCAGCTGGTGGGTCTAATGTGCATTCACGAATGTGCTGATATTATTTATACAATTATTGCAAAATCGCATAGCAGTAAATCTTCTATTTTTTGGTGTGAATAAAAATTCATTATGTGAATAAAAAATAAAAATGGAATTCACTTGTAAAGCCTCAAAACATAACTAATAAACAGAGGAAATGTTATTTTAGTGTCAGGAATGCATCCATTGTTTATTCTGGACCCTATTTTGAAATTGGAATACTTTGAACTTTGTGTGAAATTGGCCAAATTACCAATTTCCGATCACTTTATTGGGTAGTTGAAATAGTTGATTGGGCGATTTCCTGTCCTCAGTTGATAAAATATAAGTAACACTAGCAAAATAGCTAAGAATTTGGTCGACTGGAATAGTGTAATTGGCTTAAAATGGGAGTTGAAGTGGGCAAAATCGCCGATGTGTAAATATCGCTGACTCGGCAAAATTCGTTGAAAGTGTAATTTTGTCAATTTTGCCATGAAATTTCGTAGTTTTTGTTTTATCACCTCCAGAAAAAGATTCTCTACTATTTCATAAGAATTTTTTTTTTTTAAATTCTTGGACCCTGTGGACAAGTTTCAGATTGGGGGTCTGGACCCTGAAAGGGTTAAAAAAGTCCAAATTTTGTTACACGAACAGAATTTTGAAACACTTATGTGCAGTACAATCATGAAACTGTACCTACTAAATGTTTTTATTATTATTTTTGTGTTATAAAATGCATTAAAAAGCTAGGATAAAAACCACAAAATTTTTTTATGTAAAATTTATAAAAGCTCAATAAACACTTTTTGAAGAATCACCTCATGATTCACGTATCTTAGCACATACACCATAAAACAAAAGTTGTACATTACTGTATATTTATAAGGGTGCTAAACCCAACACAAAAGTTGGACAGTACAGTATCCTTACACACTATTCTAGACAAATACAATTCTAACAGACACAAATCTACAAGTATTCCTAACATCAATTTCCAAGGATCTCCTTTAACTTTTTATCAGTCATATCGGAAGGCGTGTGGATGACGGGTGGAGGAGAAGTGGCATCAGCCTGGTTAAGTATGTGCCGCAGTTGTGACTCGAGATCATTGTTGTTGCCCTTTGTGCTGGCCTCCGGGCCATCGCTACCAGGCGGAGGCGGAGGAGGAGGAGGAGTGGCCTCCTCCTGGGATGAGGTTCCCTCTATATCCACCTGAGGTATTAAAGTTCAAGCTCACTCTTAGTTTCACACCATCAAACTTCTATTACCAAAACTATAATTCAAAATGAAATGCAGCTTTCGTGAAAATAAGAAAAGGTACAAAGACATCAAACTAGAAACTTCTCCTTCCTCCTTGTCCACACGTCAGTTATGAGGACAGACAGGCTAATCAGTAGCCCTCCTCTTGTCAACCTGTGCTCTTCTTGTGTGTTCACCACTCCAACTATCGACCACACAAGCTGCTGCCTAATTTCGTGACTGGTGGCAGCAGCTCAGTGCAGCCATAACCGTTATTTATACTTTCATGATGAATGTCTTTCAATGAAATATTTGTATGTGGAATCTATCATACCTCAATCTGCTCACTGGACTCGGAAGTGACTGGGTGCATGGTGATGCCCATGGCCCTGCGCACAATGGGCACTGGAGCTAGGGCCCCAGGGGTGGTTTGCTTAGCTACCATAGTCAAGCCGTCCGTTACTTTCTCCACTGCAAGACAAGCCTAAGTTATTATCAAAATATGACAAATATTTTATGCAACACAATAATGGAGCTATTTTTTCCATAAAGAGAAGTCTGAGCAAATGTAAAAAAATAATAAAAACTACTGTGCTCCTTTAAAAAGGTCCCGGGAAAAAAAAATTTTTTTTCTTTCCGGAAAAAGTTCTTTCTTAGAAAAATGATTTTAAAAAAAAAATTTTCATAAAACCCCCGGGGGGGGAAATTAAACCCCCACAACTCCAGGGGGAAAAGGGGAATTTTCCCCCATGGCTTTTTAAAAACCTTTTTCAATAACACCGTTTTTGTTTGTTTTTTACCCCTTTTACTTAAAATTTAACCAAAATTACTTTGGGGGGAAAAAATAAAATAAAAAATAATTCTTTTCCTTTCGGGGGGAAAAAATTTAAAAATAACCCTTTTTTTTGCAACTTTTTTTAAAATTTTTTTTCAAATTTTTTTCTTTTGCCTTCCGATAAAATTACCCAGCAGAAAATTCCACCATAAAATCCCCTCTATAAAATCCCCCCAAAAAATACCCCTCTAAAAAATTCCCCATTCAAAAAATTGGGTTTTTGAAAATTTTTTTGAGAAATTTCATTTTAAAAAAAATTTTTGGGGGGCCGGTCTTCGGGTTTTTTTCCCCCCAAAAAAGATTAAATTTTTAAAAAGGTTTTTTAAAAATAAAATTTGCCCCCCTTCGAAAATGATTTCCTTCCAAAAAATTTTTATGAAAAATAACCCCGATAAAATATTTAGTAAAAATTTTTTAAAAAATTAAAAATTTATATGGAAAAAAAAAGGGAAAAAAATTATTCCCCCTTTAATTTTTTTTTTTGGGGGGGTTGGGGAAATTTTTAATTTAAACCTGCCCGTCCACCCCTTTGCCCGGCCGTTTTTCCCCCCTGGTTTTTTTCCCCTTTTACTAACCCTTTTTTAATTTTTAAAATTTTTTGTTTTTTTTTTTTTCCCCGGGGGGTGCCTTTTTTTAATAAATTAGTTGTTAAAACCATTTTTACAGGAAATTTAAGTTTTTGTGGTGTGTTTAGAAAAGGTAATTTTGTAAGATAAAGTTTTTTTTTTTTCTTTTTATTTTTATTCGAAATTTGGGTTTTTTACTTATTAGCACAGTAATTTTTTTTTTTTTCGGGTTTTTTTTTTTTTCCCAAGTCCCCTTTTCCCCCTACAGGGGAAAAAAGAAAAAAAATTTCCCCAAAAAAAATTTTTCCCTTTTAAAACCCCAATCCAAAACCTTGCTTTTCTTTTAAATACAAATTTAAAGAAATTTTTTTCCCCCCCCTGAATCCCCAAACCCTTTTTTGTGGGAGAAAGACTAATCGTAATGAAAATAAAAGTTTCCCTGAATTTAAAAATTTAACCCTTAAAACCCCTTTCTGGGCCCCAAATTTTGTTTTTTTTTTTCCGCACCCTTGGGGAAGCCGAAAAAAAAAAATTTAAAAAAAATTTAAAAAAAAATTTTTTCCCCAATTTTTTTTTTCCCATGACATTTACCCTTTTTTAAAGGGAAAAACCCTCCAATTTTGGGGGGCTGGGTTTTTTTAAAATTTCCCCCTCCCCCCCCCGGGGTTTTTTCGCAAAATTTTCCCCAAAATTTTAGAAAAGGGACAATTTTAAACCGTTTTCCCCCCGGGGGCTTTTCCCCCCCAAAGTTTAAAAAAGGTTTGGGGATCTTTCTAATTTTTTTTTAAAATTTTTTTGGACCCAAATTTGGTACTTTTTTTTAATTTATGTTCCCCCCTTTAAAATAGGACCCCCCGGGGAAAAGTAAAAAAATTTAAAATTTTAACCCCCTTTCCCTTTTAAACCCAATTTTTTTTTTTTTTGATTTTCCCCCTTCTTTTTTTTGTTTTAACTTTTTTTTAATTTTTTAAAACCCCCCAAAAAAATTTAAATTTTCTTTAAATCCCCAAAGCCAGTATTGGTAACTTGAATTCCCCTTTTTAATTGTTTTTTTAAAATTTTTTGCCCCCCTTGCTATTTTAAAAAAAAAATTAAAACATTTTATGATTTTTAAGGCCTTTTTTGGGGAAGTTTCCCCCTTTTTCCCCCCAAAGGTTCAACCCAAAGGCTTTAAATTTTGTAAAAACCCCTTAACCCTTGAAAACCCGGGGTTTATTTTTTTCCCCTTTTAAATTTAGAAAAAAAATTTATTTATTTAAATTTTTAAAAAATTGTTTCATTAAAATTAACCACCCCCCCTTAATTGGGGGCCCGAAATTTTTTTGTTTAAAATTTCTTTTTTTTTTCCCTTTCCCCCCCGGGGGAAAATTTCTTTTTTTTAAACCTTTTGTCCCCCCCCTTTAAAAAGGGCCAGTCCCCAATCCCGGGCCCCCTTTTTTCCTTTTTAAAAAAAAAAAAAACCCCCCAAATAACCTTCCCCCCCTGTTTAACATTTTAATAGAATAAAAACAAAAAAATTTTTTAAAAAGGGAAAAAGGGGGTGGGGGGTTCCTAAAAGGGTTAAGGGGGGGAAAAGGGAGGTTTGTGGGGGGGGTTGGATTTACAAAGGGGTTTGGGAAATTTAGAAGAAAGGAAAAGAAGGTATTGGGGACCACTTTGGAGGGGACGGGAAAAAGTAAATTCTTAAAAAATTTATTTTCCTTACTTAGGGAAAATGGGTTTGGGCCCGCATTTGGAGGGTTTGGGATTTATTTTAATATGGGGGAAACTTTATCGAACCCCAAAATTTTTTTAAAATTAAAAATAAAAAAAAGTGGGGTGTTAAATGTTGAATTGATAAAAAATATTTTCTTTTTGGGATTTTCTTTTTTTTTTTGGGTCACCCTGCCTCGGGGGAACGGCCGACGTTAAAAAAAAAAATATTTTGGTAGAGTTTTTTTGAAAGAATTAAGGTAGATGGGGAAAGGAAGAGGAAAAAGGGTTTAGGAAAAGGGGGGGGTTGGGGGTTTTGGGCATTTTAAGTAAAATAAAAAGTAAAGTTTTGATAAGGTAAAAGGCTTTGGGCAATTTTTGGGTTTAAAAAGGGGAAAGCAGGGGGGGTCAGGGGATGGGGAGGTTTAGGTTATGGGAGGGTTTAGGGAAAAAGGAAGTTTTAGAGGAAGTAGGCCCCGGAAAATAGGGAAAAGGGAAATTATTTCCAGTTAAAATATTACGGTGTTTGGTTTTTTTTAAAATTTTTAAAAAAGGGGTTTTAAAGGTAAACGGGGTCTTGGGAAAGGCGTGGGGTTTAAAAAAAAAAGGGGGATTTTTTTGTGGGGTGAATTTTTAGAAAGAAAAGAAGTTTAGAGGTTTAAAAAGTTTGGGTTGGGAAAAAGGAAAATTAAAAGGAAAAGGAAAAAGTAAGGTATAGGGTAAAAAGATTGGCGGGGATTGGTATAGTTGGGGGGAAAAAATGGGGGGGGAAGTTTTTGTATTTGGGGGGGGACAGGGGTTTGGGGCTTTAGGGAGGGAATAAGAATTGTTAAAAATGAGGGGTTTTCACTTAAGTCCGTGGAGAAAAAAACTTTTTTCCTTTGGGGGCAAAGAGGGGAATTTTGGATTTATTTTTTTAAAAATTTTTTGTGGGGTTAAGATGGGAAAATGTTCCGGGGGGAAGGGTGGGGTGGGTGGTTTGTTGAGGGGAATGGGGGGGAATTTTTCAAAATTTTTGGAAAGGGGGGGTGGGGCCCAAAAGTTGGGGGGGGAGGAAAGGGGGGTTTTGGGGGTTGGAATTAGAGGAAAGGGGCGGAAGATTAAAAGGAAAGTTTATGGAAGGGGGGGGGTAGGGGTCCCCGGAAAGGGTTAGGGAGGGGGGGGTGGTTTTGGGGGAGGGGGGACTTCCGCACTGGGGGAGGTGTTTATAAAGGGGGGAAGGGAAAAATGGGTTTTTAAATTGCCTTTTGGGGGGGTTTTGAAAAGTTTTTTTGAAGGGGGGGGGGGAAAGGCAGGTGGATTATCCCAATTTAAAATTACAGTGCCTGATTTTAAAGGGGGGTTAATTGATTTAAAAACTGAGGGAAAAACCCTTTTTAAACGTTTGGGTAATGAGGGAAGTTTTTTTTTGGGGGGGCCCCCCGCCCTTTGGGAATGGAGGTTAAAAATTAAAATAATAAATTTTACACACCAATTTGAAAGTTTTTTTTGGTTTTGGTTTAAAAGGGGGGGGGGGGGGTTTTTTTGGGGGGGGGGGGGTTTGTGAGGGGGGGGGCTTTTGGGTTGGTTGGGAATGGGGGGATGGTGGGGGGGGGGGGGGGTGAGTTAATTTGTTTTTCTGAAAAGGGGTAGCCCTTTTGGTGGTTGGGGCCCGGGGGGGGGCGGTTTTTTTTGTTTGGGGGGTTTGGTGTTGGGTGTTGGGTTTTGGGGGGGGGGGGGGGGGGGGGGGGGGGTTGGTTTGGGGGGGGGGGTTTGGGGGGAAGTTTTGTTTGTTTAAAAAAAAATTTTTTTTAAAAAAAGGTTTGGGGGTGGGGGGGGGGTTGGGTTTAAAATTGTTGGGGGGGGTTGTGGGGGGTTTTTTTTAAAAGGTGTGGGGGTTTTTGTTTTTTTTGGAAAAAAAAGGGGGGGGGGGGGGGGGGGGGGAAAAGGTTGGTGTTGATGGAAAAGGTTTTTGGGGGGGGGGGGGGGGTTTTTTGGGTTTTTTTTTTTTTGGGGGGGGGGGTTTTTTTTTGAAAGGGGGGGGGGGTTTTTTTTTTTGTTTTTTTGGGGGGGGGGGGGTTTTTTTTGTTTTTGTTTCCGGGTTTTTTTGAAAAAAAAAAAAAGGGGGGGGGGGGGGGGGGGGAAGGGGGATTTTGGGGGGGGGGGGGGGGGGGGGGGGGGAAAAAGGGGGGGGGTGGTTTGGTTGGGGGTTTTGGGGGGGGGGGAAAAAAAAAAATTAAAGGAAAAAAATGAAATTTTTAATTTTTTGTGAAAAGGTTGATTAAAGGGGAAAGGGTTTTTTGGAGGTTTGGGGGGGGAAGAAAAGAAAATTGTAAAATTTTTTATTTAATTGGGTTTAAAGGATAAGGGGAAGAAGAAATTTTTTGAAAATTTAAAGGGGGGGTGAAAGGAAAATAGGGAGTGTTTAAAGGTAAGGACTTAATAAACTAGCTGGTATACATAAAGGGAGCATGTTTAGAGGTAAAGATTTCATCCACTAGCAGGCACACACGAGTGCATTCAACAAAAATAAAAGTGCTCTCTGGAATTCAACATGTTAATACAACTAAGCAAATTAACATCTACAAAAGGATTCTGAGAAACCAGCTAATGTATCTTGATTTAAGGTTGGAAAGTACAGCAAGTGCACTTTTGAAAATGGGGTGGGAATTGCTGAGGTGTGTTGGATCAACTCTGGGCCATAGTATCTATGCCTGTCTGGAAAGGCAACTATTGTGAGTGATGGTGAATGTTACTTTCTCTAATCACTAAGCCTTGGTGGGAAGTGGTTGTTAACCCTTAAACTGTCCAAACAAATTTACGTTCACATGTGTAGTGGTCCAAAAGTAGATCTACGTTTTTTTACATATTTTCAAATACATGTATAACAAAAAAAGTAGATATAAGTTTTTTACACGTTTTCAAATGAAAAGAAAAAAAAATCAAAGAAGATCTACGTTTTTTTACATACTTTCAAATGTTGAAAAAAACGTAGATCTACGTTTGGACAGTTTAAGGATAAAGTTAAAAACTTTAGGTTCACTCTTTTATAAACTTTTCTACATTTGTCTTTTTTTTTTAAGACAGACATCCCAGTTCATTGTTAACCCACAAAAGCCTGACTTCACCAATACACTTTCAAAGTATATGTCCTGTACTTCCCAGCCTCCAAAGCTCAAGTTTGGCTGGTTAGTTTCTTCAGATCCTTCCTTCATGGATCTATACCTGGCCTCACTATATCATTAACTGTACATTTTTCCTACGTAGTAGGTTGGTAAACAGCAACACGACCAGGGAGGTACTACCGTTCCTGCCAATGTGTGTGGTAAAACAAAAGGCTGTAATTGTTTACAATGATGGTAAGATGCTGGCATCTTTGTCTGTCTCATAAACATGCAAGATTTCAGGTATGTCTTGTACTTCTACTTACACTTAGGTCACACTTTACAACATACATGTACAAAGCCATATTTATACACACCCCTCTGGGTTTCCTTTATTTTCTTTCTAGTTCTTATTTTTTTTTTATTATCACACTGGGACGATTCCCCACCAAGGCGGGTGGCCGAAAAAAGAAAAAACTTTCCACCATCATTCAACTCCATCACTTGTCTTGCCAGAAGGGTGCTGTACCACACAGTTCTTGTTCTTGTTTATTATCCTCTTATCCTCATGGGGAAATGGAACAGAATTCTCCTCAGTACAGCCACATGCATGTTGTAAGAGCGCGAGCAAGGGGCTAGTAACCCCTTCTCCTGTATAAATTACAATTTAAAAAGAAGAAACTTGTTTTTTCTTTTTGGGCCACCCCACCTTGGTGGGGAACGGCCAGTTTGTTGAAAGACTATATACACTTTTATAATGGTATTACCACTGGCTTAGTCAACCTAGATGTCCCAAGAGTGTAAAGTTCTCAGCGACATTTATTAGAGGAAAATGTTTGACCCTAGTAATTCTTCAGTCCTAATGGAGGAAGCCATAGTGGTCGAAGGTGTTTCCTATAATAAATGTCCTGAACTGTAATTTAGGCCATCGATTCTTCTTTACCACCATCGTGTATACCATACCATTTTCATGTATAACAATTACTTCTACGTTAATCTGTGTGTTACCTATGTATATCTATTAATGTTCATTAAAATTCCAAGGATATCAATTAAACCCATAAAGTAATTTTTTTTTTTAAAATAAGTCAGTATATTTAGTTGGCATTGTTTTTATAACAGCAGCCAGTCTCTTAAGTACTGATCCATACATTAGAGGACAATAATTGCCAGTTTGACAATAATGTCTCTTTGATAGATCAACTTTCTAAAGTCTAACCCTAACATGTGTCTTTTTAAGGGGTTAGAAACCCCTTCTCCTGTATAAATAACTAAATTTAAAAAGAAAAACTTTTGTTTTTCATTTTTGGGTCACCCTGCCTTGGTGGGATACTGTCGGTTCGTTGAAAAAAAAAAAATCTTTCTATTTAATCGTACATAACCCTAGTGTTTTTACACAGTCTTTTATTTGACAGTTACATAAAATGTATACATATAGGTTGTCATTTGAGGCTGGGGTGACACCTATTTCCAGCTGGTTTCAGTCAAGCCAGACATATTGGCTTGACTGAAACTTAATTATTTATTGATGTTAACTGGTGACAACCCAGGTCACAACCAAAGGACCTGGCATCAATCCTCTTAAGACAAGTGAACACATATGGACAAGTCTTACACCTGCTGCCCCTGTTCATCAAGCAGTAATTAGGTACCTGGGTGTTAGCTGACTGCTGTAGGTAGCATCCTGGGAGGTGGTATTATATCTAAGACAGGGATAGGCTTTAAAATGAAGAGAGGCATGATAACAGTTCTTAGCCTGTAAATTCGAAGGTGTAAAAAAAATTACTGTAGAACATGACAAAAATATTTAAAGAACCTTAATTCTCCACATTCTCCATGGAGAAGCGGAATAGAATTCATCCTCCATAAGCCCCGCGTGTTGTAAGAGGCGACTAAAATGCTGGGAGCAAGTGTGTAATAACTCCTTCTCCTGCATACATTATTCAAAGTCAAAAAGAGAAACATTTGTTTTTCTTTTTGGGCTACCCTGCCTCGGTGGGATATGGCCAGTTTGTTGAAAGAAGAACTTTCATCTTGTTTAGGTCACTCTGCCTTGGTGGGATACGGCAAGTTAAAAAAAAAAATCTACATGGAAAATTGTCCAAGATATACCAACATCATGAACATACCCAGGACATAGGATGGAATTTATACGTTCCTCTTCTTCCTGCATTCGGCGGCGCTCTTCAATGATGCTCTTTGTGCGTGAGTGTTGCTGGTGCGTCAACAAATTTAACAGCTGATCCACTAAGTGCATGGCCATATCACAGTCTTGCGAAAAGTCACATATGCTGAAAAGAACAGTTTGAGTTAAAAGAACATACTTTTATTACCTACACAACAAATTTAACTAAACAATTAAGTCATCAAACTTATCTGTGACACTAGTGAATGGTCTCAAGGGGGGTTTTAAATTTACAGCCTGGCCTGTTGACTGCCTGCTCAGCCAGGCTGTTAGCGCTAGTGGCCAACAGGCCTGCACAGTCATGACAATACAAGCTTCAAAAATAAAAACCCAAAACACAAATAATGCTGAAATAAGAGTGGAAGAAATCCAAAATAAAGATGAGAAAATTATGGTAGCCAATGCATACAATCCACAATTTGATGAAAACTTAAAAAGAGAAGAATTTAACAAGGTAAATGAGGGATTTCAACTATAAAATTATTTTTTTTTGTTTTTTAACAAGTCGGCCGTCTCCCACCGAGGCAGGGTGACCCAAAAAGAAGGAAAATCCCCAAAAAGAAAATACTTTCATTATCATTCAACACTTTCACCTCACTCACACATAATCACTGTTTTTGACACACTCTAAATAAATGGTCAGCAGAGTTTCTTGACTCTCTCGCTGTAGGTGCCATAGTACTATGGCGTGCAAGCCAGTGTTGGTGCCATAGTATTAGACCAAAATTCTAGCGGCTTCAAATCTAGTGGGAAAAAGCTGGTAGACCTACATGCAAGAGAATGGGTCTGTGTGGTCAGTGTGTGCAGTATAAAAAAATCCTGCAGTACGCAGTGCCTGAGAAAAAAAACTTCAACCGTGTCTTTGGTTTAAAACGCCAATTTTGAGGTGTATTTTCGTATGATATTTATGGATGTATTCTCGTTTTCTTGGTCTCAGTCGATAGAATGAAAGATATATTACAGAAATAGAGATGATTTTGATTGGTTTCACAATGAAAAGTGTACCTTGGAATTGAGCTCAAAGTAGCAGAAATGTTTGAATTTTGCTAATGTTCAAGAGTAAACAAATGATGTCACCGTCCAATACATACGTGTTCAATTTGCTAGCCTAATACAGTGGACCCCCGGTTAACGATATTTTTTCATTCCAGAAGTATGTTCAGGTGCCAGTACTGATCATATTTGTTCCCATAAGGAATATTGTGAAGTAGATTAGTCCATTTCAGACCCCCAAACATACACGTACAAACGCACTTACATTAATACACTTACATAATTGGTCGCATTGGGAGGTGATCGTTAAGCGGGGGTCCACTGTATGTAGTCACAAATGGGTTGACATTATTTATACAATTACAATAATGCAGTAGTTTGCATAACAGTAATCTTCTATTTTTTGTGTGAATAAAAAATTCAAACTGGAAAGCAAGAGTAATATAAGAAGGGCCTGGAGACATGACTAATGAACAGAGAAAATGTTATTTTACTGCCAGGAATGTCTGCACTGTTTATTCTGGACCCTATTTTGAAATTGGCATCTTTTGAAATTTGTGTGAAATTGGAAAAATTGCCAATTTCTGACCACTTTATTGGGTAGTTGAAATCAGTAAATGGGCAGTTTCTTGTACGCACTCATTAGAACAAATGTAGTTCTAGCGAAATAGCTATGAGTTTGGTTGACTAGAACAATGGTATTGGCCGAAAATAGGGTTGAAAGTGGGCAAAATTGCCAATGAGTATACATCGCTGAAACCACTAACTTTGCGAGAACGTAATTCCGTAAGTTTTCCATCAAATTTCATAATTTTGGTGTCATTATCACCGGGAAAAAATTCTCTATCATTTCATAAGAAAAAACATTTTTTTTTTTTTGAAGTTCTTCAACACTGAGAGCAAGTTTGTGAGCAGGGGTCTCGACAGTGAAAGGGTTAATGTAGTGATAACTTTTTATATGAATCACCATATAAATGAAAAGATATGAGTGTGTGTAAAGGTAGAAAGTTGAAAGTGAACACAGAAAAGAATAAGGTGATGAGAATATCAAATGATTTAGATAAAGAAAAATTGGATATCAAATTGGGGAGGAGGAGTATGGAAGAAGTGAATGTTTTCAGATATTTGTGAGTTGACGTGCCAGCGGATGGATTTATGAAGGATGAGGTTAATCATAGGATTGATGAAGAAAAAAAGGTGAGTGGTGCATTGAGGTATATGTGGAGGCAAAAAATGTTATCAATGGAGGCAAAGAAGGGAATGTATGAAAGTATAGTAGTACCAATACTCTTATATGAGTGTGAAGCTTGGGTTGTAAGCAGCAGCGAGGAGGCTTGGGGGCATGAATTTCCGTCTAAGGGCAATGGTGGGTAAATATTAGCAAAAATTGGGGTGTGGAAATTTTAGGGAAGGGTGGATTTAAATAAAACAAAAAGTCAGAGGCTGAAGAGGGGTTGTTGGGGTTTTTTGGGTCATTTAGAAAATGGATCAAAGAAAATAAAAGGAGAGGTAAAAAATCTTAGGGGAAGGAAGGCGGGGTAGGGGTCGCCCTCGAAAATTTTGGAAAGGAAGGGGAAAGGGAGGTTTTGTGGGTGAGGGCTTGGATTTCCCACAGGTGGTTTGACGTGTTCGATAGATGAATGGAGAAGGGTTTTGGGGACCGAAAAATCTTGGAGGTGAGCGGGGGAAATTTTTAGTGAAGGGTTTCGGGGAAACCGTTTTTTTCATATAGTCGGATTTGAGTCCGGGAAAGGGGAAGTCAATGCCTCATTTTAAAAGGGGGTTTGGGATATGGCAGTTTGGGGGATATGTTGGGTATCTTTATACTAAGCTTCAAAACTTTTTGATTCTGCACCTCTCCCAAAAACAGTGATAATGTGTGAGGGGGGAAAAGTTTTGAAGAGATGAAAGTATTTTTTTTTGGGGTTTTTTTTTTTTTTTTTTTTTTGGGTCACCCTGCCTCGGGGAGAGGGCCGCTTTTTGAAAAAAAAAAAAAAAATATCGGGGAAACCGGGTTATTTTATATATGGACTTGATCCTGGAAATGGGAAGTACAATGCCTGCTTTTTAAAAGGGGGGGGGTTTGGGATATTGGCATTTTGGGAGGGATTGTTGTGTTCTTTAACGTATAGCTTCTAAACTGTTGTGTTCTGGGGCACCTCTGCGAAAACAGTGATTAGGTGTGGGAAATTGTTAATGATGGAAGTTTTTTTTTTTTGGGGATTTTCTTTCTTTTGGGGCACTCGCCTTGGGGAGAAAACCGCTTGTTATTAAAAAAAAAAAATAATTAGGGCATCACTGAAATTGCTCAAAGAAAATGTATCCCTACACGGGCTGTGAGGGAGAAAACAGGATACTTTGGTTACTACACATAAGGTTAAAAAAAATCATGAAAGCACATAAAGAAGATTTCTTATTCCTGAGCAGGGATAACAAAGACCACTGTTGCAAATTAAAGGGGGATTTTTAAATTTTTTTTTTTCCAAAACAAGTAAACCAATGGAAGAATTGAAGGGGAAACAGTATACTACAACTATTGCAAATTTTAAAAAAAAAATTATGATAAAAAATTCGAAGACAGGACCCCAGACACAGCTCTGAAATAACATATAACCCCCCAATTATGAAGCACATGCAAGAATAGTTCAGTTACCATCTGAAAATTTAAAACTTCATTCTAAACAATTTTTCAATATTTGCTGGGGGAAGTTTAAGAGCACAGCCTTGAATATTAAAAGAGTGTTTTCTAATTGTATTTTCCACAGGGTTTATCCACCTTTTTTATGTATCTTTGACTTTTAAATTTATGGTCAGGGCTGGTTTCCGCATAGGCAAACTGGGCATTTGCCTAGGGCCCCGCCTTTTGGGGGCCCCGGGGTCCAAGGGTTCGGGGGCCATCCAAGACGCGCACAATGGTGAAAAGGCAAAGGGGTCCCTACCTAAAAAGTTCAAGGTTGGAGAGTAAAATTGATTTTTAAAAATTAATCAAAACAAAAATAAATAATGAAAAAAAATAAAATAAAAAAAATAAACCCTAACCATAAGGGCAACCCCTAAACCCCACGCCTTTGTTTACATCAAACACGGTTTTCCCCCCAAGGGTAGATGGGAATTCCTCCCCTTTTTTCGTAGTAATTACAGTTATCAATTTTGTACGTAAAAAATTTAACTAAATTTTTGTTGATAGACATTGATGTTAGGGATAAATGTTTTTTTTTTCGCTCAAAATTTAAAGGGGAGGTACCTGTTTAGGGTTACTTGACCGAAAGACCATGGACCAGTAAAGACGGTTTTTTTGTAAAAATACTAAAAAAAAAACCCAAAAAAATGCAAATACTTCCCGTTTGTAGGTTTTAAAAACACTTTTTTCCGTCTTTAAGTCTTTATCATTTCAATAACAGATTTTAATTTGATTGATTTTTCTACATCACTTCCGCGCAAATGCTTAGTTTTAAATTTTTGCGACAAAAGTTTAGAACAAAATTAATTTACTACTTTTTCCCCCAAAACCAAAAGCCACACAAAAAATTGTTGGTTGGGGAAACAAAATTGCCCCCTGCATTCTTTAATTCTCAGTCCTTATCTATGGGGGTAGGCCTATATCATAAAAAACATAATGATTAGTTTATTAAAAATGGTAAAAAATACCTTTTGTCATGTTTTTGGGACTCGGTACGTTTTTCTGTTTAAGTAAAGGAATAAAGGGAGGTGAATTGTAAAATATTCGTCCCCCAAATCAAAAACTTAATCTATGGTAAAAGTTCTGTAATGACTCCTTTCGGGTAACGTTTTAAAATTTTTTAGATGCACAGCCAAGGAAAGGGGCTAAAGGCCAACCCCCCCAACGCAGAAAAAAAAATTTAATAAAATTAAAAAATTAATAAAAAATTGATAAGAAAATTTGTTTTTACATGTTACAGACAGTGATACATCCTCTTGGGGCATCCGGAAGTGATGTTGGAGTTCTTATGCAGGGGTCACAGAAAAGGGAAAAAAAATTCAAGAAAACAAAAAAGAAAGATGTAGGAACTGCAGAAAGACACAGCACTCCAAAACATTTTCTGAGTTACCAGTAAGTTGAACTGCAATACTCAAAAAAAAAAGGGAACCCCTCCCCCCTTTATTTCCAGCCAGCATCACTTTTTTTTATTCTCCTCTCAATGTCTCAACGGACTTTTCACCCAGGATTTGTTTAAAAATCCTCCCTCTGCAAAAATCCCCAAACCCCTACAAAATTTTATTCAGAAAATAGTAAATCGCTTGTTTAGGTCACAAGTTTTGGGAAAGGAAGCCTTTTTTTAAATTCTAGGTAGAAGCTTTAAATTAAAAAAAAGGGGGGACTTTATCCAAAACCAGGAAAAGGAATTTTTTAAACATGAAACTATTTTCTTCCAAGAAAAACCTTCACACAGGGTTAATGATGGAAAAAATTCCAAGCTTTCCCCGGGAAAATGGAAAAACACAACTGCTTTTTACCCGTGTATTTCGGCACAAAAAAAAGGCTATTGGATTCATTTGGAAAATCAAATAAAAAAGACGCATTTTATTGGAGAAAAGTTCTAGAAAAGTTTTTGCGTTTAAAAATTCTTAGCTCTAAGAGGACTTGCTTTCCCGTGGAAAAAAGGGGGTTTTTGGTTGGGAAAACAATGGCAATTTCCCTGGGGATCAAGAACTTTACACAATTCGTCCCTTCTTTGCAAATCCCCGTGTCACCCTTGGGAATGCAGGAAAAGACTTTATCTTACATGTCACTACATATGCAATGAATTTTTTGAACTGATGACTAAAAGGTCCTCAATAACACTGCACTGGAAAACTGCAAAATACTTTGCAATAATGTAAATTTAACACCAATATTTCACATACAGACAATTGACTTCATTGTTCGCTTTGTCGACTCCAGGGGTAAGCCTGTAGACGCTTTTTAAAAATTTTTTCCTCTTTCGCCATGATAAGAAACAATGATGAATGAACTGGGGTACTCTGCTTGAACTGTCTCCTTTTGATTGCCGGGCCAAGTACGACAATCAAGTAACATTTTGGGTAAATATAATGGATTGCAAGCCCTTATCAAGCAAATCAACCCACTTGCGAATATGTCCCTCCAGCACATTCCTTTAAACGTGTTTTGGGGCAGTGCTTTAGTGTTGTGTCCGCAGTTTCATTTTTTGGACTTTTACAAGCACTCTTTAATTTTTTCTCTGCTTCAACACACGGTGGAGTATACAATCAACCTTCATGGGGTTCCAAACATTATCAACAACAAGGGGGCAGTGCAGCAGGCAACACATCCTGAAAAACACTTTGCTGAAATACTTCTGCTTCGATCCAAATACAGAGGGGTGAAGACCAGACGCAACTACAAGAAGCGAAGCACCAGCTTAGATCAAAAATTTGGGAAGATTTTAATTGGCCCACTCTGGTGCTTTGGGGCTGTAAACTGGAATGGTTAAATGCCACGAACAAAAAAACCCAAAAAAAAATTAAATGGCTACTTTTGCTAACCCTAGCCGGCTTAGGAATTTGTAAGCTCACTTCCAATGATAATTTGAAATGTTTGAAAGAAAGCTAAACGCTGGGAAAGACTACGTTACCCCGGGGGTCATCACGGCAAGGAAGAGGAAACGCAATTTTGAAGAGCCCGACAATAAACGGTTTCAAACCCAAGGGAAAATGTAAACGCTAAAACTTCATCATTCTGGATTCACGATTACAGAATTGGGGAAAAAAAGAAATCTACCAGAATCTCAAAGAAAGTTTTTGTTTCTGTTCAAAAAAACTACTAGGGGCCCAAAAGAGAATTAGAGAAACTGCATTTTTGCAACAACACCCTTTCAGCAATGTTTAACACATTTGTTAAGAAATAGTTTATTTTTTTCTGGGTAAAGAATCAGATTAAAGCTCCCCTAAAAATTGGGGGGCCCCCCAGCTGCTTTGAAATATTTTAAAAAATGCGGTATCCCAGAAACCTTCCCCAATTTTTTGACATAGTTATCGCCCCTTTACCTAACACTTCCACCTAACTGTGAAGGAGAAAATTCTTTTTGTTTTAAAAAAGGAAAAACCACTCCGTTTAACAATGAGCCCAAACAAATTGGTTTAACCTAGCCTTGTTGCCATTTAGTCTGATTAACAAAAATATTGATTTTTTAGAAATAATTTAGATTTGCCAATATAAATCCAAAAAAAGTTTATTTAAAAGTCCTGTGAATTAAACAAAGTCTTTACTTCTTATTTATATGATTTGATATCTTTTTCATGAGCAATGATAACAAAAAGGGGGGTGATTTTTAAAGGGAAAAATAGTGTGTAGTGGGTTTTGCGAATAATAGGTATATGATTCACTACTTTAATAGCCAAACTAGTAATACTATGCTGCTTGAGTTTATTTTCTTTAAAATGCATGATTTAACAAGATAGTTTAATGGCTTTGGTAAATGGTTTTTTTTCTTGATTCTTTCCCTTTAAATTTAATCTAAATAGCCAAAATGTATTTAATTAGACCTTAAAAAGGCTCACAAAAGCCCCCCCCCTAAGCGGAAGGGGGCGCTTTGCTTACCCGTAACTCAAAAGGGCCCCGCCAACTGAATAGCCAGGGCCCGGGGGATTCTAACCGGCCTGTTATGGGAGTAGCGATTGGGTTTGGGAAACCCCAAAGGGGATCCAAACCCTCAATTTTTACACTCTTTAAATTGGCATTAAAAGAAGAGAAGAAATCTAACATTTAAAAAACTTAATTTTTACAAAATATAAAACTTTCCTTTGCTACTGAACACTGTTTCATTTCCAAAAGTAGCAAAAACCATCTCACCTCCCTTTGGGGGAAATTAGCAAATTTGAGTCAAGAGGCAGAAAGAGGAGTAGGGCCCTATACAGGGGTTTAACTGAAACAAATCATAATTTATAAATACCAAACACCAAATGAGCTCTGAAAAATAAAAATGTGATAAAACCAGGGAAGATAAACACGACTACACACATTCAATGTATTTTTGTCATACAGACAAGTTTTTATTTTTGATAGTAAGTTGGTACCTAGGTAGTAGGTTATAGACAGCAAACCCCCCGGGGGTACTACGTCCTGCCAAGGAGTGTAAAACGGAACCTGTAAAATTTTTTTACATGATGGTAGGATTGCTGGGTTTTTTTTTCTGTCTCATACACATGCAAGATTTCATGTATGTCTTCTACTTCACTACCCTATCACACTACCATACAGACAAGCATATATATACACCCCCTATGGTTTTTTTCTATTTTTTATCTATTCTTGTTTTTGTTTATTTCTTCTTACCTCCATGGGGAATGGAACAGAATTCTTCCTCCTAAGCCATGCGTGTTGTAAGGACTACAATCCGGGGGCAAGGGCTAGTAACCCTTTTCCTTATATCTATAAATGTAAAAGGAAAACTTCGTTTTTTTTTTGGCCACCCCGCCCCGGTGGATACGGGCCGGGGCGTTGAAAGAAAAAACAGGGGTAACGCATCCCCCCCAGGGGGCACAAACCCCCTACCAAGGAGTGAAAAAAAAAACCTGTAATTGTTTGTAGATGGGAGATTTCTGGTGTCTTTTTTGCCTCAACAGCAAATTTTAGGGACGTCTTCTACTTCTCTACACCCCACACTTGCAAAACAAGCATATATATAAACCCCCCCTCTGAGTTTTCTTTATTTTCTTACTATTCTTGTTCTTCTTTCCTCTTATCTCCATGGGAAGTGGGCAGAATTCTTTTTCGAAACCGTGCTGTTGTAAGAGTCGAAAACCAAAAAGCCGGGGGCAAGGGCAATAAAACTTTTCCTGACACACACTAAAATTAAAAAAAAACTTTGTTTTTCTTTTTTGGGGGCCCCCTGCCTCGGTAGGAAATAGCCGATTTGTTGAAATATGATGATGATAAGCTTAAATACAACTACTTCCATTATTTGATAAATCTCAAAATTTGCCTGCCCAAGCAACCATGCTGAGAGTCAGAGTAGAAAATTCTTTGCTATGTTACATACTTGGTTTGGCCATGCTTCTCTTGTCATCTCGGAAGTTGTGGAGCATGGCTGAACCTTGGGTAAGCTTCCCAGTGAGGAGTCCAAGACTGACAGGCTTCTCTTTCAAGCTTGGATCATTACCCTCACAACCGTCAGAAAACTGAGGGTGGTGGTGCCGTCTCCTCGCTGACGTAAGAACCCAAGCTGAGGAAAGTAACAAACACGTATTAATCAAGAATTCTGATTATTACAGTTATCCCTATTTGCAGTTGTCCTTATTTGCAGGTATCAATTACATAACTTTTTACATGCTTGTTTAATCATAAAATTTAGTCATCACTTCCTTGCACTAGAAAAGTCACCATCCTTGCACTAAAAAAAGTTTGCAAACCCATATAAGAGGCCACAGATGAACGTGAAAAGAAGACAAGCAAGGAAAACAAGTAAGAATTAGTTAACAGCATTTAACTGTAATGACAGAGGTGGATGAGGAACTAAAGCAGACCTTCAATAGCACTGCATGTGACAACAACTGCCAGTGTTTACATGGGTGGCTGTGACCAACTCATCCATTGCCTACTTTACAAAGAAAACACTTCAGTCCTTTGAAGTTACAAAGTAAATGTAAAATTCATATTTGATCAAATTCACAGATTATTCCTACACTCTGATATTCCAACAAGACCATATTGTATGTTTCTCCACCACTACACTGCTACTTTACCTCATGATAACCACACCATCATACATGATTCTTTAGCAGCTGTTTGAGTACTGGGAAAGATTCTGTATAAGGTCACCCACCAAGTAAAAAAAGTTCTCAATCAAAACAAGATAGCAATGAGTCAAGAAACTATTACAGTCCAAATACACTTTTCAGCCATACAAACATAATTAAATATTAAAATGTGTACAGTGAGTAAATACACACTAGATGATGCATTATCATTATACATGTAATTTACACTTTCACTGCAAAGAATTTAGTCACAAAATTATCTTTCTTCCTAAAATTGAAGTACCTTAAGTAAAGGGAAGAGCAACCTTTGTCTAGATATACAGATGGGCTCTGCTTATACAGCAGGTTAGGTTCCAGGCTACTGCTGTAAAGCAAAAATCTCTGTAAAGTGAAACATATCATTTTTTCACTTTTAAATAACATGTTAACACTATCATATATTAAATGAACAACAAAGCTAGGCCTATACATATACAGTATACACATTGCTTATCTTAAAATATTTCCGTCCTTAGTTTATAATAAGTGGCGAATATATTTATTGCAGGAAATCTGAATAAATGAAAAATGGGCATAGCTGAAAACTGCTGCATTAGCAAAATGCTGTAAGCGGGCCTTGCCTGTATGTACTTATTATATCCACACGATCTATTTAGAAGCACAAGGAACACTGGTGAACTATAACTATCTCATGCTTAACAATAACAAAAAAAGGCACAATATCGTGACTGGAACGATACACAAATAACCCGCACATAAAAGAGAGAAGCTTACGACGACGACAGTGTGACTTTGTCAATGGTCCAAGTAGGACCGAAACGTCGTCGTAAGCTTCTCTCTTTTATGTGCGGGTTATTTGTGTATCTCATGCTTCCTGAAAATACACCATCCTGTCTTCAAAGATCTCACATTCTTATTAAGAATGCACATAAAACTAGAATCACCGAAGTTCTCAGGCATTCAGAATGAGCAACAACAATAATTCAGGGTTAGTTTCTAATGATAAATATTAGTATTGTAGTAATTCTGAGCACATAATAATGGAACTCACTGTACTAACTGGTTTCTTGAGGGTTAGTTTTTCTGCCGCTTCACAAGAAGCATTTTGAACTTGTTCCAGAATCTCTTCAGAGGTCATGTCATCTTGCACTGCTTCAAATTTACTGTAAAACAAAATACACAATTATTTCCCATCCCATTATTCACACATATTATTATTATTATTATTATTATTATAATAACCATAACTAAGTGCTAAACCCATAAGAGTCATACAGCAATGCTTATTCACATACAGAACAACATATCACCCGGATAACAATTCACTAATGAATCCTCAGAGACACACAAGTGTGATACATTTCTCACCTCTGAGGCTCCTTGCTGTCAGTATCTTCATCCATTGACTCTAAAGGTTCTGTATCCAAGGTGTCATCCATGTCTACACTAGAAGTCAATGCTGGGTTGATATCAAAGCCAAGCTAAGAAAACAGAGCTGGCATGAACACAAACTTCTACAGATTCATAATATGCAACGTTAAAATTATCATATTACAGTGGAACCTCGGTGTTTGTATGCCCTAGTTTGTATGTAAAACTATGGCTATTCTCTATAAAATGCATTTTTTGTTAATATTTTTAGGTGTCTGGAACGGAACCAATTAATCTGTTCCAGACACCCAAAAATATTAACAAAAAATACGTTTTATCGAGAATAACTATAGTTTTATAAACACACTAGGGCATACAAAAACTGATGTTCCACTGTACAAGATTTAAACTGCTGTATTTATTAAAAACTGGCTATACCAAACTACTCAATTTATCACTGAAACCTTTTCTCAGGTAAATTCCATTTAGAAGACAATTTTTAGTAACTAACATAATTACAAGACATGATGAAACATGAAAATGGGAGAAAACACTGCAATACCTTGTATGATGTTATACCCATTTTCATCCCATTCCAAAACTTGAAACGGTCAGGAATGTCACCAAATAGTTTCCTATTTTAACATTTCTATGCACTTTAGCAATATTACCAATTTTTAACACTTTTTTTTTTAACACAATGGCCATCTCCCACCAAGGTAGTATGACCTCAAAAAAAAAAAAAAAAACACTTTCATCATCATTCACACTATCATGGTCTTTGTAGTGGTGTGCAGATACAACAGTTTAGATGTTACTCTAAGCAGCAAACCCCTCCTTTAACCCTTTGAGTGTCGAGACCCTTGCTCACAAACTTGCTCGTTGAATTTGATGGAAAACTTACAGAATTACACCCTCATGAAGTTAGCGATTTCGGCAATATTTACACCGACAAATTTGCCCAATTTGAGCCCTATTTTGGGCCAATTCCATTGTTTCAGTTGACCAAACTCATAGCTGCTTAACTAGAACTCCTTTTATTCTATCGATTGAGTACAAGAAACTGCCCATTTACCTATATCAACTACCCAATAATGTGATCAGAAATTACTAATTTGTCCAATTTAACACAAAATTCAAGATAGGCCAATTTCAAAATAGGGTCTAGAATAAATAATGCAGACATTCCTGGCACTAAAATAACATTTTCTCTGTTCATTAGTCATGTCTCCAGGACCCTCTTATATTACACTTGCTTTTCATTTTAAATTTTTATTCACACAAAAAAATAGAAGATTTACTGTTATTCAGACGCCTGCATAATGGTAATAATTGTATAAATAATGTCAGTGTATTTGTGAGTACATATTAGATCAGCTAGTCGATGTGTATTGGACGTGTGACATGATTTGTTTATTCTTGAATATTGACAAAAATCAAACATTTTTACTGCTTTGAGCTCAATTTCAAGCTACTTTTAGTCTGTAAACCATTCAAAATCATCTCTATTTCTATAACATATCTTCCATTTTATCAAATAAGACCAAGAAACCAAGAATACAACCATAAAAACCATATGAAAATACACAACAAAGTCGCTGCTTTACACCAAAAACAGGGTCAGTTTTTTTTTTTCATTATACACTGCGTGCTGCAGGATTTTTTTATACTGTGCATACTGACCACGCAGACCCATTCTTTTATATGTAGGCCTACCAGCTTTCTCCTGCAAGATTGGAAGCCACTAAAATTTTGGCGTAGTATTCTGGAACCAACCCTGGCTTTAAAGCCGTACTATAACAAGACTGATCCTGAAAGGGTTAAAGTGCAGACATTATACTTCCTACCCCCAGGACTCAAATCCAACTAACCAATTTCCCTGAACCCCCCTCATAAAATATTACCCTGTTCACACTCCAACAGCTCATCAAGTCCCAAAATCCCTTCGTCTCCACTCACTCCTATCCTTGTTAATGCAGAGCACTATAATTGAAGCAAAGCCCTATTGAGAACTTTTAGGATTTGTACATTACCTGTTCCTTTGTCAGGGTAGTCATGAGGGGAACTTCACGTCTCAGAGACAATAGCTTCTCAGGAACCATGAACTTCTGACCAATATGCAGTAACTTCTTGGCTGCCTTATAATAAATTGTGTCTTGCTGATTATAGGTCATACAGTTGTTGCACATAAGCTCGAAATCTGACTACATAAAGAAAATTAAATGTTAGTTAACCTGAGAACTTTGCATGAAAATGAACTTCATAAAATTCACTATTATGAATGTAAAAATATGATGCAGACTTGCATAGGTTGCATAGTAAGCCGACAGAAGTGCAATGATCCCTACTGTTGCTGCACATTACATTTGTGTACTGTTTCAGTGATGGTATTGTGACTTTTTGTTAGCCACTCAGCTACCTGGCTGAGTGGCTAACATGTTATTATGATTTCATGAGTCATATAAGTATTTATTACATTTTGATGCTCCTATATAGTACAGGAAATACAATACATGCCACACTGAAGAAGCCACTGGCTGGCAAGATGTTTCCAGAATGAAGATACCCAAATGTTGCACAAGTGTCTCATTTATCAAGAATCATCTTGCCTTAATAGTCCCTCTCAGTTCAAATTAACTTCACATTTCTGACTTACTAAGTAGGCTAATCAATAGAGCAATCTCTCTTACCTGAAACTGCTTTAAATTTGTGTAGCCATTTTCTTGAATTTTCAGCTTCATGGTAGAGAAGTCCATGGGCTGGGAGATGATGGAGGAGTAGCCTGGGGCGATGGCATCTGTGACAGGCCAAGCAAAGAACTGCTGAGGGTCCTTCTTCTCCAGTAACATCAGCAGGTGGTCCAGAAGTTCCTGTCATTGGTTAAAACATTTATATACAAGATTGAACTACAAAATCTATATTTTTATTATAGTCAAGGAAAGCACTAAACCCAGAGGGGTCCCATAGCACCTGGGAAATAGGAGGTAATCAGATTTGATCAAAGTGGAAAGTAGCAAATCAACATTTTTCCTACATTCCTTAACTTTCATTTTTTTTTTCAGTGAAATGGCCATATCCCACCAAGGCAGAGTGACCTAAACAGTAAAACAAAAGTTTCTCTTTTTAAATTTAGTAATGTATACAGGAGAAGGGATTACTATCCCCTTGCTCCCGGCATTTTAGTCACCTCTTACGACACACATGGCTAATAGAGGAATAATTCAGCTCCACTTTCCCATGGAGAACTTTCAAATACCTTTGATATACTTTTATCTTTGAGGAGTTATGAGTTTTTTTTACCATGGAACCCGACCATGGGTCTGGCTTCCTAACTTATTAGGTCTTCTTTCTTTCAACACACCGGCTGTATCCCACTGAGGCGGGGTGGTCCAAAAGGAGAAACTAAAGTTTCTCCTTGTACATTTAGTAATACAGTGGTCCCTCGATAATAGTCCGGCTCGATAGTCGTCCTTTTCGGAAATCATCGAGTTATTTCGTCCAAATATTGGCTCGCAAATAGTCCGTTGACTCACTAATCATCGAGAACAACATCCAGTATTGGGCCCCTACTTAAACAAGATGGGTCCTACACAGATGACAGCAAGGAAATGATTGAGCTACTCAAGTCCCAATATGACTCAGTTTTTAGCAAGCCGCTAACCAGACAGAGTCGAAGATCAAAATGAATTTTTTATGAGAGAGCCACAGAATTTGGTTAACACAAGCCTATCTGATTGTAGGTAGTAGGTTGGTAGACAGCAACCGCCCAGGGAGGTACTACCATCCTGCCAAGTGAGTGTAAAACGAAAGCCTGTAATTGTTTTACATGATGGTAGGATTGCTGGTGTCTTTTGTCTGTCTCATAAATATGCAAGATTACAGGTAAGTCTTGCTACTTCTACTTACACTTAGGTCACACTACACATACATGTACAAGCATATATATACACACCCCTCTGGGTTTTCTTCTATTTTCTTTTTAATTCTTGTTCTTGTTTATTTCCTCTTATCTCCATGGGGAAGTGGAACAGAATTCTTCCTCTGTAAGCCATGTGTGTCGTAAGAGGCGACTAAAATGCCGGGAGCAAGGGGCTAGTAACCCCTTCTCCTGTATATTACTAAATTTAAAAGGAGAAACTTCAGTTTTTTCTTTTGGGCCACCCCACCTCAGTGGGATACGGCTGGTACGTTGAAAGAAGAAGAAGCCTATCTGATGCCAAATGACTTCGAACAGGCGATAAATGACATGCCCATGCACTCTGCCCCAGGGCCAGACTTGTGGAACTCCGCGTTCATCAAGAACTGCAAGAAGCCTCTATTACGAGCTTTTACCATCCTATGGAGAGGGAGCATGGACATGGGGGTCGTCCCACAATTACTAAAAACAACAGACATAGCCCCACTCCACAAAGGGGGCAGTAAAGCAATAGCAAAGAACTGCAGACCGATAGCACTAACATCCCATATCATAAAAATCTTTGAAAGGGTCCTAAGAAGCAAGATCACCACCCATCTAGATACCCATCAATTACACAACCCAGGGCAACATGGGTTTAGAGCAGGGCTGTGGCTGTGGCTCGTACGTTGGTTTGCGTGCAGCCAGCAGCAACAGCCTGGTTGATCAGGCTCTGATCCACCAGGAGGCCTGGTCACAGACTGGGCCGCGGGGGCGTTGACCCCCAGAACTCTCTCCAGGTAAACAGGAAATGTTATTTTAACGCCAGGAATCCCTGCATTGTTTATTCTAAATCCTATTTTCAAAATGGAATATTTTGAAATTTGTGTTAAATTACCCATATTACCTATTTCTGATCACTTGACTGGGTAGTTGAAATAGATGATTGGGAGATTTCTTGTGCCCAGTCAATAAAATGGAAGACATACTAGCAAAATAGCTAAGAATTTGGTCGACTGGAACAATGTAATTGTCCTAAAATAGGACCCAATGTAGGCAAAATTGCTGATGTTTAACCCTTTCAGGGTCCGTCCCGTAGATCTACGGCTTTATGTTCAGGGTCCAAACCGTAGATCTACGCCATGAGCTCAGCTCACTCTGATAAACTGTGAGTGGTACATTTGGGCCTAGATATGAGAGAATACATCTATGTGGTATGTGTGCACCACATAAAACAGATCCTGCAGCACACTGTGTATAATGAGAGAAAAAAAATGAAATCATGATTTTTCGATTAAAACAGCAACTTTGCAGTGTTTTTTCGTATGTTTTTTATAGTTGTATTTGCGATTTCTTGGTCTCATTTGATAGAATGGAAGACATATTACAGAAATAGAGATGATTTTGATTGGTTTTAGCACTGGAAATGGCTTGAAACTGAGCTCAAAGTAGCAGAAATGTTAAATTTTTGCCGATATTCAAGAGTAAACAAACGACCTCACAATTCTAATACACGCCAGCTGGTGGGTCTAATATACATTCACAAATATGGTGATGATATTTATACAATTATTACAGTATTGCATAACAGTAAATCTTCTATTTTTTGGTGTGAATAAAAATTCATTATGTGAATAAAAAATCAAAATGGAATTTATTTGTAAAGCCTCAAAACATAACTAATGAACAGAGGAAATGGTAGTTTAGTGCCAGGAATGCCTACATTGTTCATTCTGGACCCTATTTTGAAATTGGAATATTTTGAACTTTGTGTTAAATTGGCCAAATTAACAATTTCCGATCACTTTATTTTGTAGTTGAAACAGTTGACTTGGCGATTTCTTGTGCTCAATCGATAGAATAGAAGTAATACTAGTGAAATAGCTAAGAATTTGGTTGATTGGAATAATGTAATTGGCCTAAAATGGGAGTCAAAGTCGGCAAAATCGCCGATTCGTAAATATCGCTGACACATCAAAATTCGCGAGAGCATAATTTCGTCAATTTTCCACCAAATTTCGTACTTTTTGTTTTATTACCTTCACAAAAAGATTCTCTACGATTTCATAAGAAAAAATAACATATTTTTTTTTTGAAAATTCTTGGACACTGGTGCGTGACTCCAGATTTGGGCCTTGGACCCTGAAAGGGTTAAATATCATTGATACAGCAAAATTCGCTAAAGCGTAATTTTATCAATTTTCCATCAATTTACATACTTTTGTTTTATTACCTTCAGTAAAAGATTCTCTATCATTTCATAAGGAAAAATAATTTTTTTTTTTTTTTAAATTCTTGGACATTGTGGACAAGTTTCAGATTGGGGATCTGGACAGTGAAACGGCTAATCTGCTGTTTTCTTGCGTGTTTTCATTCAAGTTAGAATTAATTAAAAATTCTTGGTCAAAAATTTAATTCTGTCATTTAACCTTCCTTTTCTTAATTTCCTGGTAATTATTAGAGGAACTGGTATGGTGATATCAACAAGTTGCATGTAAAAGACACTTATCCTCTGATCAAGACATTAACTCAAGAAATGCTTTACCATGACTAGTGAAACATTTCCTTAATAAATGTCCTAAGTACATGCAAGGCTTTTCCATGATAATGATACAAGAATCTAATATATCTTTGTTGCATGTCCTCACATCAAATATTGAGGCAAGTGTACATCTTGACATGTTAGTTATCAATAGGAGTAACCAGCTTAGCACCACCTGCATTACTTTGCACCTCTAATCAGCATCTTACTATCTTACTCCTCTCAATGTAGCAGTGTTGACTTTGTAATACCAAATTGTCTGTCAACTAAGAAATGTGAACCACAACTCATGAGCTGATCCAAAAATATCCATTATCCAACTTCATCACACTCCCTTCCTTATTAGCATTATAATTATATATTCATTGGAAAGTGCTCAACTCACAGGAATCATTGAGTCTAGGGAAAGAGAAATAGTATGGTTTAATCAATGAAGGGGAGGGTAGCTACAATTTTTTGGATCAAAAGGCTTTTACCAACATTGAGGCATACCCCCATGAAAGAGCAAGCTCACCTTCAGCACTATTCTTGTACTTAAAATGCACAAAGGGCGAGTAGTACCAAAAAATCAAAATGCTATAACGTAGTCACAAGCGCGAGACAAAAAAAACGAGTGCAATTAAAATAATGCAGAGACAGAAGAACCATGAAGCACTATGAAGTACACTTCCCACAGACAACAGCAACACCACCATGCCTTGGGTCTTCTCTTAACTTCATATGTCATATGAAAATTATGTAAGATAAAACTATATATTATTAATATTTAAACACGGATTACTAAATTTAAAAAGAAAAACCTTCATTTTTCTGTTTAGGTCACCCTGCCTCGGCGGAATACAGCCAGTTCACTGAAAAAAAAAAAAATTAAACACAGCTATATAGTATAGTACAGTGGACCCTCAACTAGCGATTGCATTGATTAACGATAAATCTGACTAGCAAAAATTTTGCCTCGACTAGCGCTTAAAAACCCGACCAGAGCTTTTCGTTCCGTACCACACGCGTCCACTTTGGCCTGAGCGCGCCTCACTTGTCCCTTGGGTGTCAGTGTTTACAAGCCAGCCAGCCACCGCGGTCGCTTCCAAACATACAACAACTGAAACATTTCATATTATCACAGCCTTTTTAGTGATTGCACCTGCAAAATAAGTCACCATGGGGACCAAGAAAGCTTCTATTGCCAACCCTACAGCAAAAAGGGTGAGAATTACTATGGAGATGAAGAAAGAGATCATTGATAAATATGAAAGTGGAGTGCATATCTCTGAGCTGGTCAGGTTGTATAATAAACCCCAATCAACCATCGCTACTATTGTGGGCAAGAAAACGGCAATCAAGGAAGCTGTTCTTGCCAAAGGTGCAACTATGTTTTCGAAACTGAGATCGCAAGTACTCGAAGATGTTGAGAGACTGTTATTGGTGTGGATAAACGAGAAACAGATAGCAGGAGACAGCATCTCTCAAGCGATCATATGTGAAAAGGCTAGGAAGTTGCATGACAATTTAATTAAAAAAATGCCAGCAACTAGTGATGTGAGTGAATTTAAGGCCAGCAAAGGTTGGTTTGAGAGATTTAAGAAGCGTAGTGGCATTCATAGTGTGATAAGGCATGGTGAGGCTGTCAGTTCGGACCACAAAGCGCTGAAAAATATGTGCAGGACTTCAAGGAGTACATAGACAGTGAAGGACTGCAACCTGAACAAGTGTTTAATTGTGACAAAACAGGCCTGTTTTGGAAGAAAATGCCAAGCAGGACGTACATTACTCAGGAGGAAAAGGCACTCCCGGACATAAGCCTATGAAAGACAGGCTTACTTTGTTGATGTGTGCCAATGCTAGTGTGATTGCAAAGTGAAGCCTTTATTGGTGTATCACTCTGAAACCTCCAGAGTGTTCAGGAAAACACAATGTCCTCAAGGCTAATTTGTGTGTGCTGTGGAGGGCAAACAGTAAGGCATGGGTCACTAGGGACTTTTTCTGTGACTGGTTACACCATGCATTTGCCCCTGATGTGAAAAATTAACTAAATGAAAAGAAATTAGACTTTAAGTGCCTCCTGGTATTAGACAATGCCCCTGGTCATCCTACAGATGTGGCAGAGCGACTTTCTAGGGACATGAACTTCATTAAGGTGAAGTTTTGCCTCCTAATACCACTCCTCTCCTGGAGCCCATGGACCAGCAGGTTATTTCCAACTTCAAGAAACTGTACACAAAAGCTATGTTTGAAAGGTGCTTTGTAGTGACCTCAGAAACTCAACTGACTCTAAGAGAGTTTTGGAAAGATCATTTTACCATCCTCAATTGTGTAAACATTATAGGTAAGGCTTGGAGGAAGTGACTAAGAGGACATGACTCTGCTTGGAAAAAACTGTGGCCAGAATGTGTAGACAAAAGGATTTTGAAGGGTTTGAGGCTAACCCTGAGAATCCTATGCCAGTTGAGGAATCCATTGTGGCATTGGGGAAGTCCTTGGGGTTGGAGGTTAGTGGGGAGGATGTGGAAGAGTTGGTGGTGGAGGACAGTGAAGAACTAACCAATGATGAGCTGCTAGATCATCTCGAACAGCAAGAGGGCAGACCTGAGGAAACTGCTTCGGAGGAGGGGAGAGAGAAATTGAAGAAGTTGTCTACTTCTAAGATTAAGGAAATCTGTGCAATGTGGCTTAAAGTGTAAAGCTTTATGGATGATAATCACCCTGACACAGCTACTGCAAGCTGTGTTGGCAACCTGTACAATGACAATGTTGTGAACCACTTAGGAAGTCATAAAGGAACGAGAGGTACAGGCCTCTATGGACAGATATATTGTGCGACAGAAGTCCAGTGACTCTCAAGCTGGTCCTAGTGGCATTAAAAGAATAAGGGAAGTAACCCCAGAAAAAGACTTGCTGCCTCAAGTGCTAATGGAAGGGGATTCCCCTTCTAAACAGTAAGAAGATAACGCTCTCTCCTCCTCCCATCCCATCAATCATCACCAGATCTTCAATAAAGGTAAGTGTCATGTAACTGTGCATGTAATCTTCAGTTTGTGTGTATTAAAATTAATATTTCATGTGGTAAAAATTTTTTTTTCTTCAATACTTTTGGGTGTCTTGCACGGATTAATTTGATTTCCATTATTTCTTATGGGGAAAATTAACTTGACTAACGATTATTTTGACTAACAATGAGCTCTCAGGAACGGATTAATATCGCTGGTTGAGGGTCCACTGTATATGAAAGCATGTTAATATGGGTTTTAACTCAGGTGTTAGTTCTGGTCTTTGATTATGATGGTCACATTAATGTACTGGCTCCCATCATGATCTGTGAAAGATCAAAAACTCTTGGCTCTTTTCCTTCCATGAGAGTGAATAAAGATACTAAAATCATACAGTATGCTAAGTGCTTAAAAGTTCTCAAGTCAGCATACCAAAGCATTCTTAAGACAGCCAGAAAAATAAACAGCAATAAAAAAGCATTCCTACAAGAATATCCAATAAGACAGCCAGGCCTTGAAATACTTTTCATAAACAGTAAATGTAATTCTGACTAACATTGAGTGAAGAAGACGACTCATTGGACTTGGGCAGAGGAGAGCTTGACTCCTTGGATGGTGAAGTTACTATGGCACTAGCCTCCAGATGCTGCTTCTTGATGGGTGGTTCATCTGTAGGTTCCTCACCCTAAAAAAGGAACAAATGTGAAAGATGTATCAAAAATATATTAGTTGGACATGAGTTCTGGAGGTGGGAGGTACAGTGCCAGCACTATGAAGGCTTGGAGGGGATGCTACACCTCAAAGAGGCAAAGGAAATGTGATGTCCATACACCTCTTGCAAAACAGTTAAGTTACACAATGTTCCATTATCTTAAAATAATATTTCTGAACTGTCACACCCAACTCATATAATTTTCCTTGTTGTTGGTGTACTTTAAATACCATGCACTCTACCTTAATGGAAGGCTGCAGTCGTAATAAAAAATCATCTAAAAAAAAAAGAGCTCTAAATACAGATCATTTATTGTTTGGCAATCAGTTTTCTGGCTTTCAACATTATTTGGCAGTCTTGCTAGATTCAGCACCTAAACAAAGACTAAAACAAAGAAAGAATGTGAAAAACAAATGGACCACAAAAAAATGAAAATCCAATGCACCTTTTTTTTTAATGAAAGAACCAATTAATTAATGATTTACTGTATGCATTTCATAATTTTTGTGTAATACTAAATTTATGCAAAACTTCAAAAACTATTAGTAATTTACCTCTGCCTTTTCCCGATGATGACGATGCTTGTGCCTCTCTTTGTCCTTCTCACGCTCCTTCTTCTTCTTCTTCTTTTTAGATTTCTTATGCTTCTCTCTGAAAGTGGAAGAGATAATTTTAATGATTAATTTACTGCTCACAAAACTTATCTCCAAAACGTGAAAAAACCGTCTCCCACCGAGGCAGTCAGACCCAAAAAAGAAACACTTTCACCATTATTCACACTATCACTGTCTTGCCAGAGATGCACTTATTCTATATAACTCCCAGGCTATCAAACCTCAGGAAACATTAACAGGCTAACTCACTCACTGACTCAGCAAACATGAACAGTTAAACTCTTCAGAGCACTGAAGGCTCAACATCCAACACTGATGGACTGATTACATCATCTCTGGTACTCTGCATGCTTCCTCTGTATTTGACTGAAGAAGCCTACTGTGTAGGTAAAATGTTTCATTCAATAATAAATATTTCCAACTCTTGGACATGTCTCTTACTCTTCATCTTTCTTCAGACTGAAAGGTTTGTTTACCAACAGAGAGATTTCAGTCATGCAACTCCAGCTAGTTTATCTGCCATTTTGAAGGTCAAACATGCTGTTTTCATTGAATAGTTATCTGTTGTGATAAAGTTGTATTACCTGGAGTTTACCTGGAGAGAGTTCCGGGGGTCAACGCCCCCGCGGCCCGGTCTGAGACCAGGCCTCCTGGTGGATCAGAGCCTGATCAACCAGGCTGTTGCTGCTGGCTGCACGCAAACCAACATACGAGCCACAGCCGGATGATCCGGAACTGACTTTAGGTGCTTGTCCAGTGCCAGCTTGAAGACTGCCAGGGGTCTGTTGGTAATCCCCCTTATGTGTGCTGGGAGGCAGTTGAACAGTCTCGGGCCCCTGACACTTATTGTATGGTCTCTTAACGTGCTGTGACACCCCTGCTTTTCATTGGGGGGATGGTGCATCGTCTGCCAAGTCTTTTGCTTTCGTTTAAAGAGTGATTTTCGTGTGCAAGTTCGGTACTAGTCCCTCTAGGATTTTCCAGGTGTATATAATCATGTATCTCTCCTCCTGCGTTCCAGGGAATAAGGTTTAGGAACCTCAGCGCTCCCAGTATTGAGGGTGTTTTATCTCCGTTATGCGCGCCGTGAAAGTTCTCTGTACATTTTCTAGGTCGGCAATTTCACTGCCTTGAAAGGTGCTGTTAGTGTGAGCAATATTCCAGCCTAGATAGAACAAGTGACCTGAAGGTGTCATCATGGGCTTGGCCTCCTAGTTTTGAAGGTTTCATTATCCATCCTGTCATTTTTCTAGCAGATGCGATTGATACAATGTTATGGTCCCTTTAAGGTGAGATCCTCCGACATGATCACTCCCCGGTCTTTGACGTTGGTGTTTCGCTCTATTTTGTGGCCAGAATTTTTTTTGTACTCTGATAAAGATTTAATTTCTCATGTTCACCTATCTGAGTATTGAAATTTCATCGTTGAACTTCTATTGTTTTTTTGCAGCCCACTGAAAAATTTTGGTTTTGTCTGCCCGGGGCTTTGCAGTGTCTGCAATGGAAAACCTGTCAGCAGATTCGGGTGTCATTGCAAAGGAAGACACGGTGTGTGGTGACATCTTGTCTATGTCGGATTAAGGATGAGGAACAAAATGGGAGCGGAGTACTGTGCCTTGTGGGAACGAGCTTTTCACCCTACTGCTTCGGATTTACTCTGTTTTACGATACTCGTGTTCTGTTGTGAGGAAAATTTTAGATCCCTCGACCCACTTTTCCGTTATTCCTTTTTGCACGCATTTTGTGCGCTATTACGCCCTGGTACACTTGTCGAGGGTTTTGCAAAACTGATATATTACTTGCATTCTTTTTGCTTCTAGTGCATTTAGGCTTGTCGTAGTGGTCCAATATTTAGACGAAGGAGTGACTTTTCAAAACCCATGTTGCCCTGGGTTTTTGTAAGAGGGTTTTGATCGTGGTGATCTTGCTTTTTTGGGCCCTTTTCAAAGTTTTTTTATTTTTGGGGAAGTTAGTTTGCTTTTGGTTGTAGTTCTTTGCGTTGCTTTACTGCCCCCTTTGTGGGTGGGGCTATTTGTTGTTTTTAGTAACTGGGGGACGACCCGTGTCCTGCTCCCTCTCCATTGGAGGGAAAAAGGGCTCGTGATAGGGGTTCTTGCAGTTTTTGATGAACACAGGTTCCAGGGTTTGGGCCCTGGGGCAGAGTGATGGGCATGTCTTTATCGCCTGTTCGAAGTCTTTGGCGTCAGGAAAAACATCGGTAGGCTTGTGTTTCAATTTTGGGTTTTAAAAAATTCTTTTTGATCTTCGACTTCAGTTGGTTAGCGGCTTGCAAAAAACTGGTATATTGGGACTTGGTAGCTATCTTTCCTTGCTGCATCTGGTGGGACCCATCTTGTTAAGTAGGGGCCATACTGGGGCGTTGTTCTCGTTTTTTTTGGCAAGGAAAAAAATACTTTGGGTTTCTTTCGATTTCATTTATGGCTTTTAGTTTTCCGCGATTCCTGACTCCTAAAGGATTCTTTTAGCTTAAATTGTGCTTGCATTTCTCTGACAGTGTCTCTCACGCATTTCGATAATTGACCCCTTTTAGCCCCCTTGTTATTTTTTCCGTCCCCTTAAAGGGAGCGCCCGTCTCTTTCTTTTTTCATCTACTCCCCTTTTTCTTGAGGAAAAAAGCCTTGTGATCACCGGTGCCACCGAGTTAATCTGTTCTAGGCATAAGTTGGGGGGCTGTGTTGCTTAGTATATCTTCCCGCTTATATCGGTTAGGGCTTGGGTTTTCTTGGTCCACTTTTTGTTTTTGTTATTGAAGTTGAATTTTGGTGAATTCCCCCCCCTGACTAATCTCATTATGTCGGTCTGGGGTCCGGCTAATGACTGAAACCCCAATTATGTTGGATCTGGATATTGTTTTTGATATGGTGATATTTCTTTTGACTCTTGTTTTGTGAAAGTTAGGTTAGTTATTTCCGTTAGTGGCTCTTTATTTGTGGTTTAAATTGAATTTTGTGCAGGATTTAAAAACTGCGTGGTGGAGTTTTCATCAGAGTGCCCCTGGTGTTATTACTGCAAAATATTATTTGCTATATTCCCCCTTTTAGGTGCCTTAAATTGAAATCCCCCAGGAGAAGAGTTGGTGGGAGTGGGAAGGGTTTTCCCCGACCGTGGTCAAAATTTTAACAGCTGTTCCCGGAATTGTGGGATGTTGCATCCCGGGGCTTGTAGACTACACAATGACTAGGTTTTGGTTTTCGACCTTTATGCTAAAACTTCCACTACATCATTTGAGGCATTTAGCAGTTCTGTGCAAACAAGTGACTCTGCAATGTACAGGCCAACCCCCCCTTTTGCCTGTTCACTTTGTCACATCTGTATAGGTTGTAACCTGGGATCCATATTTCGTTGTCCAAGTGACCCTTTATGTGGGTCTCAGTGAAAGCCGCGAACATTGCCTTTGCCTCTGCAAGCAGTCCACGGATGAAAGGTATTTTGTTGTTTGTTGCTGGCTTTAGACCCTGTATATTTGCAAAGAAGAATGTTATCGGACGGGTGGTATTGTTGGTAGGGGGGGGGTTTTTTTTTTCCGGCATTAGTATCTGTATCTGTTGGTTTGGAGTGGAGGCCATCGACTGTGGTTCCACTCCAGGAATGACTGGATTTGTGTACGATTTCTGCCATTTCCTGCCAGTTTTTTTTCCTTCCTGGCACTAAAAAACCTTCCTCTTGAGTGGCTGTGGCTACCCAGGTTTTCCCATGGCCTGGATGTTTTGTATCTTTTTGTCCCCTTTAGATGGTATCCCTGGCAATTTAATTATAGCACAGTCTTTCCTGTACTGAAGAGGTACACAGTTCGGGTGAAAAGTTACAGGAAGGGAGTTTGCATTTTCCTGTTGTCATAAAGGGCATGGCATTTCCTAGGGGGGGTCATAGTTGCACGTCCCATCTGTTTTTCAGATTTCCCCTGCCAGCAGATACCCAGTGCAATAGTATGTGCACAGGCTTGGTTTCGTTTGCCCTTTGGGGTTTTTGTGACTGTATTCCCTGTTGGTGCATTTTCCTGTCTTATTTTTATCCCCCCTAGCACCAACAAAGGAGCTCCACCATTTGTTTTTGGTAATATTTTCCTCACTATTGCTAGTGGAGTCCTCTTGTTTGCTATTTCCTGCGGTATTTTAGTTTGCAATATTGGTTTTATCTTATCTTTGACTACACTTGTTTCCCTACTAAAGGTCCCGTCCCCTATGGGGTCATTTATATGTATTCCTTCCTGCGTATAATTCCCGACTACCCGGACAAATCTCAAACCCTTCACCATTACTGTCTCCAGGACAGCATCTCCAGCTTCCCCATTACTGTCTCCAGGACAGCATTCCAGCTTCACCATTACTGTCTCCCAGGACAGCACCTCCGCTTCACCCTTACTGTCTCCCCGGACAGCACCTCCAGCTTCCCCATACTGTCTCCCGGACAGCACTATCAGCCCCCCCCTTTACTGACTACCAGGAATCATCTCCAGCCTTACAGTTTCTGACTACATGGCCAGTATCAAGGGCAGTACATTCAGCCCGGACTTTTTATGTTCCCATCTGTTGTAGAAGCTTCCAGGTTTTTATGAAAGCAGCTTTGATGTTGACCTCTTTTAATACCCTTGTGATTTTAGTCCACAGATTTATCTCTTTGGGCATACCCAAAAACACTTCCCTGTTTTTTAATACTGCTTGTAGCTAGTTCTTGGATATCTGCACAAGGGGGGTGACACCAATTTCACAGAAATGACAATTTATGCATGTGGAAGCCCGTTTGTTTAACTGACCCCAGACTACACACAGCTTCATAATGATTTGAATGGTGATTTACTGCAATTCTAAATAGCAACCTCTTGAATATTCTATTAATAACCCGCTAGGTGGTGCACAACGAAACCCTTTGAAACCAGTCCAGGGTTCGGACCCGTCAAGGGTTCGGACCCGTCCCGGGTTCGGACCAGTCAAGGGTTCGGACCAGTCAAGGGTCCGGACCAGTCGATCTGCTTGATCAGTGGGTCAAATTATTTAAAACATACTGGTCGGTGATTTGAGCTAACACATGAAGGATCTACTGGAAATTATCTACCCGAGTAATATGTGATTTGACTGATACAAAAGTATAACTTTGCGTGTTGAAGAGCCGGTGATTACTGGCAGGGTCCCACAATGACGAAACGGTCACCTCCTTGTTTATCAATCGCTGTATCTGGCTTTTCTATTTTTTTTTTTTTTTTTCCGTCTCCACCACAATAAATGCTATATTATCACTATAGTTGACTGGTGCAAATTTTGGAGGAAGGACGCTTTTTCTGTAGTAATAATTGCTTCTCGTTGTGTATATTGCGACCGCTGGTAACTACAGGTTATATGAAATTCACAGTAACGTCTCGTATTTCAAGAAAAGAAACTAATGAAAGTTTAACCCTTTGAGGGTCCGTCCCGTAGATCTACGGCTTTACATTCAGGGTCCAAACCGTAGATCTACGTCATGAGCTCAGCTCACTCTGATAAACTGTGAGTGGCAAAATCGCCGATTTGTAAATATCGCTAACACATCAAAATTCGCGAGAGCATAATTTCGTCAATTTTCCATCAAATTTCGTACTTTTTGTTATATTACCTTCACAAAAAGATTCTCTACCATTTCATAAGAAAAAATAACAAATTTTTTTTTTTGAAAATTCTTGGACACTGGGGCACCACTTCAGATTTGGGCCTTGGACCCTGAAGGGGTTAAACTTATAAAAGTATTATGTTATACCAATGTCTAACAACCACTCTTTAATTTTGGAATTATGTACCATACAGATGATCCTTGACTTAACCCTTTCAGGGTCCGTCCCGTAGATCTACGGCTTTACGTTCAGGGTCCAAACCGTAGATCTACGTCATGAGCTCAGCTCACTCTGATAAACTGTGAGTGGTACATTTGGGCCTAGATATGACAGAATACATCTATGTGGTATGTGTGCACCACATAAAACAGATCCTGCAGCACACTGTGTATAATGAGGGAAAAAAACTGAAATCATTATTTTTCAATTAAAACAGCGACTTTGCAGTGTTTTTTCTTATGTTTTTTATAGTTGTATTTGCGATTTCTTGGTCTCATTTGATAGAATGGAAGATATATTACAGAAATAGAGATGATTTTGATTGGTTTTAGCACTGGAAATGGCTTGAAACTGAGCTCAAAGTAGCGGAAAATTTAAATTTTTGCCGATATTCAAGAGTAAACAAACGACCTCACACATCTAATACATGTCAGCTGGTGGGTCTAATATACATTCACAAATATGGTGATGATATTTATACAATTATTACAGTATTGCATAACAGTAAATCTTCTATTTTTTGGTGTGAATAAAAATTCATTATGTGAATAAAAAATCAAAATGGAATTTATTTGTAAAGCCTCAAAATGTAACTAATGAACAGAGGAAATGTTAGTTTAGTTCCAGGAATACCTACATTGTTTATTCTGGAGCCTATTTTGAAATTGGAATATTTTGAACTTTGTGTTAAATTGGCCAAATTAACAATTTCCGATCACTTTATTTTGTAGTTGAAACAGTTGACTTGGCGATTTCTTGTGCTCAATCGATAGAATAGAAGTAATACTAGTGAAATAGCTAAGAATTTGGTTGATTGGAATAATGTAATTGGCCTAAAATGGGAGTCAAAGTCGGCAAAATCACCGATTCGTAAATATCGCTGACACATCAAAATTCGCGAGAGCATAATTTTGTCAATTTTCCACCAAATTTCGTACTTTTTGTTTTATTACCTTCACAAAAAGATTCTCTACCATTTCATAAGAAAAAATAATAAATTTTTTTTTTTAAATTCTTGGACACTGGGGCACCACTTCAGATTTGGGCCTTGGACCATGAAGGGGTTAAACTTATAAAAGTATTATGTTATACCAATGTCTAACAACCCCTCTTTAATTTTGGAATTATGTACCATACAGATGATCCTTGACTTAAGAGGGTTTGACTTTATGATGGTGCAAGAGGAGTTAGCCTGGAGATGAAATTTCAGATAATTATCCATCCTGAAGGCAGAAAGTCTGTAACTTGTATTCATATATTTACTTTTCAATACTAGTATTTAGTTAGTTACAGCTATTATTTGTTTATTTACTTATTTAGTGACAGCAGTTATTTATTTACTTATTTATTCAGCATATCATATTCACATTCAACTTACAATATTTTTGACTTACAATGGGTCTGTCAGAACACAATCCCATCGTAAGTCGAGGAGCACATTTGCTTTGAAATTAAGTTTTACATTCTTACATTATTATATTCCAAGTCATTCTGGAGGATGTATAAATTTGTAGTGGGGGAAGGCAGGGCAGGGGGTCACCCTAGAAAAGGTTGAAGGGAGGAGGTAAAGGAGGCTTTGTGTGTGAAGGGCTTGGACATGTAACAGGCGTATGTGACCATGTTAGATAGGAGTGGGGGTAAGTGACTTTTATGACTTCTTGTGCTGTTGGAGTGTGAGCAAGATAGCATTTATGAAGAGATTCAGGAAATGAGTTAGCCAGACTCAAGTCCTGGAGGTGGTAAGCAAAGTGCCTGCACTCTGAAGGAGTGGTGGGCGTATCTGCAGTTTGGAAGGGCATCTGAACTGTTATACCGGCATCCCTCTGGCAAGACAGTGATGCAGCGAGTGATGGTGAATGTTTCCTGTTAACTTGGGTCACCCTGCCTCAGTGGGAGACACTGGTATGTTAAAAAAAACTATTATATTCATGAGGAAGTGCCAAACCCAGGAATTGACGGTACAAGTCATGTTATGATTCCATAAACCAGTTTTATAATAAAATTCAAATAAAGATCTAAGCACCACACAATATTTTTAAACTTAGCAGAAAGGCAGATGATATTAACTGATAACTCAAGTTGTGGAGAAAATTCTCCAGTAAAGGGGGTATCTCTCAGCCCTTTCAGCCCCCCTGCAGCCCTCTGAGGGACTTAGCTCCCCTGGAAGGGGCTAGTGGACTCTTCCTTCTTCACAACAGTTTTATGAGGAACACATGTATGTACCATAGCATCACGAGGCACGCCTTCCTCTCCTTGCTAGAGGTTAAACAAGAGTAATTACTCTTTTTTCCATAGCAGGAAAATTAAGGAAAAACCTGTGCCCCACTTATCTACAAGTTGGGACTATTAGGAATTCTAGTTTATAGCTAGATAACAAGAAACCTACCCTCTTGTATTGAATACTGTTGCAATGTGTAGTAAGGAAGAGATATAAAGCTGAACTCAGCAGTTCTTTTGTGCTGAGGGCGATTGATGGGCACTTGGGGAGGACGACACACTAGGTTGAATTCAGACATGAGAGCATGAACATGTCACAAATCTCAGCTGAGAACAAAGAAATTAATCACTTTGTGCAGAAAACTCTGAAATACTGTCAATCTCCACTAGGAAAACTAGTGTTAAAAAGAAACATGAGTTTATTATCTGCAGTATAATCCCGATAAGTGTAAAGTTTGTCGCGATATGCATTCAGGTGTTATGAACGAAGAAGATATCACTTTGTCGCGTAAACAATGACCGAAGTGACTCCCTGTCAAAGAGCGAGGACATAACTATGCATCTGTAGCAGCCTGCTCAAGACAACAATACCAGGGTCACACTTCCCCTACAACAAACTAGGGGAAATTGGGTCAGTTACAATACCCAGGTAAATCCAGCTATACCCACACCTAATTACATTAGCTGCAGCTAATAGGTAGGGGTGAGATTTGACTGGAATTACCAATAGCTCCTGTGACGCTTGGGTGATTCACCCAAACCCAAGTGAGTACCACTACGCATTTCAGATGATAGTGAAATGCTGAGATATACGCTCCTTTTGGGCAAATTATATGAATAACAAACTTGGTAATCAACAGCCACTGTGGAAATTGGAACAGCGCTCCGAGGGGATTTCCAGGGAAAGGCTGCTGGACATCATGGTGTTAAAAGATAATAACACTTGTCTTATGTTTGTTTCATGCAGGAAGTGTACTTATCTAACCAGTTCTCCACACAAGTTCTGTGAATAATCCAATTTCAGACTGACTTTGCATAATTTAGCTTGCAATGACCCCTTGCAGGAATATTTACATAATTATTGCATGTGTTATTACATAACTGTTGAAACTTAAGAGACTCATTCTCCTTTGGGAAATGAACTCTTTCCATCCCTACTGAGAGCCACCAGTGTGAATCATCCCCACCCAAGAACAATGTCAGGTGGCACTCCTTCAGGAGTAATGCCATACCTTGCTCCTTCATCATGATGAGAGTGACGAGAGCGTGATCGGCCCTCCTCCTCTGCAACTGGCTCCTCCTCCCCCTGTTAGATTATTAAAAATAGGTTAGACAAGTACATGAGTGGGTGTGGGTGAGTGTGAGATGGCCCTGCCTAGCCTGGGCCAGTAGGCCTACAGCAGTGCTCTTTCCTTCTTAAGTGGGTATGGCTTAGACTTGCCTAGCATGGGTCAGTAGGCCTGCTGCCATGCTCTGTTCTTATGTTTTTATATCAGTGGGGAAGGTGTTCCTAGAGGTCACAAGAAACTATAAACTACATATAATAAAATCATATCTGCATAATAAATTCTCTTTCAGATTTAGGTTTTGTTTCAGAGACCACATCTTTCATATATTACTCTTGTTAATATTAACATTCATAAAATAATAATCACAAACAGAGACCTGGACATGGAAAAAGCCACCGAGTCATAAAAATGTTTGATGACTGAAACCCGTCAATGAAGAAGCATGCGAATTTGGAGGAAACTGCAATTGTGCAAGATATTTATGAAGCACTTTTATTAGACTGTCTTCCTATCACATATTTGTGATCAGTTTTGGGAGTTTTTCTCCCACAGCCTGGCCTATAATCACTTACATGCTGACTGTCCGATCTATCAGGTTATTTCCCCTCCTATCTGTTGCTGTCTTGCAACACTGCATAGCTCCTGATGGCACACGAGTGCAAAAGATGTAGAGCTAAAGATTTCCATCCCCATGTGGCTTGTTTTACATCGTATAGATTGCCAGTTTGTGATTGTATTGCTTACTATAATATATAAACTGCACAAGAGTAGCTCACCTGGGCATCCTCAGCACACTCCTCCTCCTCCACCTCCTCATCTGATGCAATCTGTCCCTGTTCATCATCAGCCATGTTGGAGATGATAGTTGGGTGTGCTGAAGAAGCTGCTTTCTGCTCTGGGGTAGAAGGGCCTCCACTACCCAGCTTCAGTTTCAACTTCAGCGGAGTCTTTTCCATTGCAAAGCCTGAGTGGGTTCGACTCTTTAATCATGCAATTATTTCTCATAGACTACAAGTTGGGCAAATCGAAATTTGCCCAACTCATAAACTTATTCTATAGCTTCAGTCCATGCACTGTATCAGACAAGAAGTAATAATATTAATGCATGTGAGAATTCAAGCTGGGTTAATACATATGAATGATATTAAGCACATGTGATATTTAGCAGTATATTTCACACTTCATGATACAAGCAGTGCTAGACACAGAAAACTCATACATACGTGTGACAATTCCACCAGGGTGCAGAAAAAATGAGAAAACATAAATCAAAATGAGCACAAACACGACACAATTTTGGACAAAACTCATGATGGTGATCCTTATGCGGTCAATAAAACAATATCTAAAAGGCAAATAAATATCTACTGTACAAAGATACAAAAATAACAGAAATTAATGAAAATTACCACACTACAAATTTTCATCCTGCTAACTAAAGATATCAATCATGGCTCAAATACTAGAAATTTATCCTGCTGGTGCTATTAACTGTGGCTCTCATACTGCAAATTTATCCTGCTACCTAAAGATATTAATCTTAGCCCAAATACAGTACAACTAACTTATTCTGCTAACTGGAACATATTATAACCCTATGTTCAGTATTGTAGTTATATCCTGTTAACATGAGTGGGTGTGGGTGGGTTTGAGTTGGATCTGATTGGCTTAGAACAATAGGGATGATGCATTGCTCCTTCCTTCTTAAGTGGATGTGACTTGAACCTGACTAGCTTAGGCCAGTAGGTGACTTGGACTTGCCTAGCATGGACCAGTAGGCCTGCTGCAGTGCTCTTTCTCATGTTCTTATTAAAGATAAGATAAAGAAAAAGAGTACACATTTCTTTGTAAAGATTACAATATGTAATTACATATATAATATTTGGGAGAGTTGCTTCAAACTGATTAGTTGTTTTGGTTGGTTTGGTTAGTATTGAGAGACGAGATGATTTGCTACAGATGCATCGGTTATATGTTAAGTTGTTAATAAATGCCCATGAGTGATGCCACAATGAAATATATTGTTAGGCTTTTGTAACAAGCAAGACCCAAACTTAGTTCCGGGACCTCTGGTAGTAGTGGTATTGATACATTATTAAGACAGTGTTTTGTAGTGGTTTAGTGTCACACAATGAATTGGTAAGTGATATCGGAGTGCAACGGACAAGCAAAGTAGCAGTAGCAACACTCACAGCAAATGGGCATTCTTGAGCTTCCCCAGTGCTTGGGCTTGGCCCACATCTGGGGTGTGGCTCTACTAGGAGCCTGTGGTGCTTGCTGCCTTTGCACCTCCAGACATCGTGTGCTGCTATGCAGCTACCACACCCTTCGAGTCCTGTGTGGGCAGGGTTTGTGGCAGTCCAGAGTGCCTAGCTTCTCCCTCCGAGCCCCGTGGGGGAGGGGAATGGGGCTAGGCCTGGGGACAGTTAGTCCCAGAAGACAAGGAGGCACTTGTACCTCCTCCCATGGCAGACATTGGTCTGAGACACTCCTGCTAAAGGGAGCCATGACTGGGCCACCACCTGAAAAAGGCCCAGGTCAGGTGATTATACCAGCGAACCTACAAAAAGAGGTAAGTGATGTGACCTCTTCTGGTCCTAGACCAGTGACCTAGTTTGCAGAAGTGTCATATTGTTATACCTCAGCAGTGGCATGGTCTGGAACAGTGACACTGTTATATCCTAGCAGTGGCCTGGTCTGGAACTATCACATTAGTTTCCTTGCAAAATCACATTATAGTCCTGTAATAAGGCTAATCGAGGACTTGAAAGTTTTTAGCAGCATTACAACTCTGTGGTTATTCAGCACTTTGAAGGTAATTTATAATCATTATGAATTTGCAGTGATTGCTGCCCATTTGTTGCTTCTGTTAACACTTTGCTACTATCATAAGTCCACCAATTTGTTTCTATTATAATTATTAACTTGTTAATACGGTGATCAATTTGCTGTCATATTTATTATTACAGCAATATCAAAATTTAACCCTTTGACTGTTTTGGTCGTATATATACGTCTTACGCGCCACTGTTTTAGACGTATTAATACGTGTATTAAATTCTAGTGGCTTCAAATCAAGCAGGAGAAAGCTGGTAGGCCCACATGAGAGAGAATGGGTCTGTGGTCAGTGTGCACCACATAAAAAAAAATCCTGCAGCACGCAGTGTACAATGAGAAAAAAAAAAAACTGACCATTTTTTTGGATTAAAACGCTGACTTTGAGGCGTAGAGTATTTTCGTATAGTATTTATCCTTGTATTCTCGTTTTCATGGTTTCAAGTGATAAAATGGAAAACATATTACAAAAGTAGAAATGATTTTCATTAGTTTCACAATGAAAACGACCTTGAAATTGAGCTCAAAGTAGCAAAAATGTTCGATTTTTACCAATGTTCAGGAGTAAGCAAATCACACCACACGTCCAATACACGTCAATTGGGGAGTTTAATATTCTTTCTCTAGTGCACTGATATTATTTATACCATTTTTACAATAATGCATTAGTCTGCATAACAGTAAAGTTTGTATTTTTTGTATGAATAAAAAATCAAAATACAAAGCAATAGTAATATAAGAGGGGCCTAGAGACGTGACTAATGAACAGAGGATATGTTATTTTAGTGCCAAGAATGTCTACATTGTTTATTCTGGACCCTATTTTGAAATTGGCATCTTTTTTAATTTGCCTGAAATTGGCCAAATTGCCAATTTCTGACCACTTTATTGGGTAGTTCAAATCGGTAAATGGGCAGTTTCTTGTACTCAACTGATAGAAAAAGTGGAGTTCTAAAGAAATAGCTATGAGTTTGGTCAACTGGAACAACGGAATTGGCCAAAAACAGGGCTCAAATTCGGCGAAATCGCCGATGTGTATATGTCGCCAAGACCGCAAACTTTGCGGGAGCTTAACTCCGTGAGTTTTCGACCAAATTTCGTACTTTTGGTGCCATTACCATCAGGAAAAGTTTCTCTATTATTTCATAAGAAAAAATAATTTTTTTTTCCAAAAATTTTGCAACATAGAATGACAGTTTCAGAAAGGGGCTTGCAACAGTCAAAGGGTTAAAGTCGGTAAGTCACATTACACAAATGTAATTCTAAAGGCTAGGCCTCAATATTTTCTTGGCCAGTTATGCAGTGATAATGAGTCATACATAAATAACCTGCACACAGGAGAAAGAAACTAGTTAATGGTCCAAGTCGGACCGAAACACTGTCATTCAGTTTTTCTCCTGTGTGTGTGTTATTTGTATTGCTCCAGTCACAGTATTTTCCTTGATGTTCTTTGTAGTAATGAATGTTTAACAATAAATTGGGATATTTAGTAATAGTACATCGTAATGGATGAAATATTTGGAAATTTCTTCATTATTAGTGAAGGAAATGTCTGGGGTAGTATCATATGTGGTCCCCTAGTGAGGTAATCTGGTCTGGAAGTGTGACAATGCTACCTCCTTGTGAGGTGACCTGCTCTGCAACTTTGCAATAATTGGCAATCAAGTAATGAAAAAGTGAGAGTCCAAGGTTGTTATCCTGACCTATGTTCCAGCCAGTAGAATAATCCATAAGTTGCTAGCCTTCCCCCATATTCTAAGCATCCCATAAAAGCTATAATGGATAAGTATTCTAAACACTTCAGTGATTGTTGCACACCCAAACACATGCAAAAGTAATGCAACTACAGTACATTTGTGTACAACACACTTAACCCTAACCATACCTTCAGCATTGCTAATACTGCATCTTAAATATAAAAAATAATGCTATTTGTAATAATTTAAGGTACTGTATTATACTGTATTTCAAATCTTCATTAGAATCACATTTTCACAATATTTTATACTGTATGTATATACATACAGTGGTACCTCTAATTTCGAACAGCTCCCAACTTGAATAATTATGTAAGTGTGTTTTTGTAAATGCTTTTTTAAATGTATTTTTGGGGGTCTGAAAAGCACTAATCTATTTTACATTATTCCTTATGGGAACCAATTCGTTTGGTAACGGCACATGAACAGCCTTCTGGAACGAATTTCGGCCAATATTCGAGGTACAACTGTACATACAACATATAATAATGCTGTACCTTATCTTCTACAAACTACAATAGAGTATAATTTCTCATATTCTTACTAATGAACGTGCAAAACTGTCTCTATTATAGAAAATTCAAATTAGAAATTTATTTGAATGACTCCGAATTGGGTTTTTTATTTTTTCCGAAATATGTTCATCAATTTTACTCCTTATGTAAATTCAGAATTTACCAAAATTTATATTTTAAGTTTGGGAGAATTATTTGAGCAAAATAAGAGAAATTACTATACACAGTATGTATAAAGATTGGTAAATATAGTACAGTGGACCCCCGCATAACGATTACCTCCGAATGTGACCAATTATGTAAGTGTATTTATGTAAGTGCGTTTGTACGTGTATGTTTGGGGGTCTGAAATGGACTAATCTACTTCACAATATTTCTTATGGGAACAAATTCGGTCAGTACTGGCACCTGAACATACTTCTGGAGTGAAAAAATATCGTTAACCGGGGGTCCACTGTAGTCTTATACACGAGATTTTGAGAGAGCAATCACATCAGCTAAAGGAACCTAACCTATACAATAACTGGGTTTCATTGTATATCTGTCAATATGGTTTAAATTGCAGGGGTTCTTAACTTGGGGTATCCATACCCCTTGGGGACATGACAATCAAATAATAGGGGTATGGGATACAATCTCTGAACAATTTAAAAAAAATTGCTGTTGTTAGACTAGAATGAACTATCATTTGTTCTGTTCCTAGCTATCTATATGTAAAGTAAAACCAAGCTATTGATATCTTTTGAAGTCATACTGGTACCTAATAGGACTGGTGGTAGTGATGATTTTGACATTCTGGTACATGGGGTATGGGGACATACTGGGCAATCCGTTTGGGGGTCTATAATCGTAAAAAGGTAAAGAACCCTTGGTTTAAAGGATCATTTCTGTGGCCTAGTCTTGGATCACATCTCCTAAATTGAAAAGGAAATATTACAGGACTAAGAATTATGGGTAAATATAGAGACCCAGTAAGTAAGTTTATTCAGGTATACACAAATACAGTTACATACATTATCATACATAGCAGCATATGTGTAGAGAACCTGGGATAACCCAAAAAAGTCATACAGAGTGAAGTGACTTATTTCCATTGGGGTCCCATAAGATAGCAAAGACAAGTGTGTAACAAATGTAAATAAATGTTTGTAAGAGTTACTGTACCTGTCATATTACATGCAAAAGGTGACAATGAAAAGATCAGCAATCTTGCCAGAGTGCAAACTGTTTAATTAACAATAATCAGTTTCACTAGTGCTATACCTCCCTGGATGGTTAATGTCCATTAACCTATTACTTACTGTTACCAATCCATCATGAAAGGGAGCTTTTATGGGACATTCTCCCATTAAAATGCTTAATGATGGATGCATGTTTTAAACTTCTGTGGTGGACTAACTTTTATTTAGTATAAACTGGTCAGGAATTTTTTTTTTCATGATGCTAGTACAGGTACTGAATTACGTACTTTATTCTCACAGTATAAGTTTTTTAATCAAATGCAGTGAATTTTGATACTGAATTATTCACGAACGTGTGTCATATCGTTCATTTATATGAACATATGAACATTTCTTCATCAGCCTCCCTCCTTTGAGCCAAACAAGAGAAAATCTATTATATGCTACTCTTGTAAAAACAAACAAAAATTAATGCATTATTACATAAGCAGCAACTCCTCCCATTTATTATCATATTGTATTAGGGTCTAATGTCTGTTAGAATTTGCTTGCTCTAAGTTGATCTTATACAAAATACTGTATGCATTAATTTTATTTTACTCTTACTGGTGCAGATTTTTAATGTACAGTAGTCTCCCCCCCACCATATCTGTGGGGGATACATTCCAAGAACTACCATGGATACCCAAAACAATGGATAGTAGACCACCACCACCACCACCCTATATACAGTGGAACCACAGTACTCGAACTTAATTTGTTCCAGAAGGCTGTTCAAGTGCCAATTTGTTCGAGTACTGAATGAATTTTCCCCATTAAGGAATAATTAATAATAATTTTTCATCTCTACTGTGACTCTAACCAATTTTCCTTTTGGTTGGCTGTTATCATTAATCTTCTTGGGCACCATGGTGCCTTATTTATAGAGACAATAAAAAAAACACCAAAAAATGTGAAGAAACACAATATAGTTTACAGCAGAGATCAGCAGTTTTGCACTGAGCGACAGCACATGGTTTGGTCAAGTGCCAAGCAAACGGTCGACTACCGAGTGTTTTTTTTTTTACTGAACAAAGTGTTTAAATACCGAATGGTTCCAGTTGGGAGCTGTTCAAGTACTGAGGTACTACTGTATAAGTCTTTTTTCATTTATATACATAGCAATGATAAAGTTTAATTGATATATTGCACAATAAGTCGAGAATTAGCATTTTTTCACTGATGGGAAGCACTTCACAGCTTCTCTTAGGCTTTAAAGAACTGCCACCATCACTATATTTTTGCTTTGTGGTCATTATTCAGCAAGTTAAGGCTTATTTTAGGGCCATGGTTAACCACGGGTAACTGAAACTGTGGAAACCAAATCCACGGATATGGGGGTTCTACTGTAATTTCCTTTCTAGAAGCCTGATGAAACTCTATATTAGGTTGGGATCCTAGATGTATTCTGACTGTTGTGCTTCCTGACCACTGATAAGGGCTAGGATTTAAAAATTTCTGGTAAATACTGAAGTGATGCATACTTGTTCTATTACAAAAATCTAAGGAAAAGTGAAACACTGTTATTAGCACTGAAAAAAAATAGTAAATAATTTAACTTTACTTGCAACAGCAAGTAAAGTTTTTATATAGGCAGCCTCAGTGCCTACCTACTGACATAATACTAGGTAAGGTACTTCAATTCATCATGTATAGTACTCTCCCCTAACAATAATAATCTGAAAAACAAACTCCAAGTTGTAATAATGTTGGCAGAATTACCCACTATGTTAGATAAAAAGGACACAAGTGCAACTAATGCAACACTTTATTGTGGAGAGCAAAACATTGCCACAATAAAATGTTCCATCAGTTGAACTTGTGTCCTTTCACCTAACAAACTCAAGTTACTTAAAATAGGATAAAGTTTATCCTGGATATCGGTGCAAGGGAACATGTTAGTCAAAAGGAAAAATAAATGTGCAGTATTTACAGAAATAGACACAATGCAAGTCAGATTACCGTGGTACAATAATGTGGAGAGTAATCATGTGTATAATTTCCTTCACCATATAAAAAAAAAAGTTGAAGACAGAAAAACTATTTTCTTCTATGATAGGAATAATTACTCATCTGTTAGTCTTCTATAAAACCAGAAATGCAAACTGATATCACTTTTATGTGCAACTTTGTCTTTTATTTGTAACTCCAAACATTAATTATTCCAGCATCAAAATAAACACATATCAACATTAATCCTGCGCATTAAAATAATCATCCAGTAAAGACTTTAAAACCCCTGCAGCATTAAACTAAAACTCCAGTATAGAATTTAAATCCGGGACCTTTAAAACATCAAATCGAATACAAACATTAATCCCTGCAGCATTAAACTCAAAAATCAATATCAGACTAAATCCCTGCAGCATAAATATAATTCCCTTTATCAAAATTAATCCCGCAGCATCAAACATAAATCATCGTTTTAAGACATTACTAACCACAGCACAATTATCGCCCCAAATTAATCCTTGGGGGTAAACAAGTTCGGGGGCTTGGTTTTAGTTACCATATATTATAATCACCATTAAATGCAAAATGCAAAAGGGGGTTAAAATGCTGAAAGTTAGCCAAAAACTATTATGTAAATTCTTAACAACAAGTGGTTTGTGAATGGAGAGAGTTATATGTCTATGTATGGGGAAGCCTACCTTTTTAAAAAACGAAAAAAAAAAAACAGCTGAACTACAGTAGTTTAGAGGGAACTTAAAGTTAGGTTACTTTTTGGCGGTTAGGTTTATTTTTGGGTTAAAAAAAAAGGGCTTTCTCCCTACAGGTTAAAGTAAATGCTGAAAACAAGCAGCTTTATTTAAGTTACAGTGGCCCCCGGGTTTTACGATATTATTTCTTTCCCAGAAGTATTTCAGGTGCAGTACTGCCCGAATTTATTCCCAAAAGGAATATTGTAAATTTAGATTAAATCCATTTCGACCCCCAAAAACCATAACATAAAAACCACTTACAAAAATACCCCTTACATAATTGGGTGCATTGGGACTGATCGTAAAGGGGGTCCCCTGTGGTTTTCACTGATTCAGCTGGGCCCCGTAAACCATGACATGTATTTTTACAAAAAAATAAAAAAATTTTTTTCTTGTTTCCACTCGATTTTCCATTAATACGGGGAGGTTTATATAGAAACTCGACCCCCTGAACTAAATTTTAAACCGAAAACGGCCCCCAAAATATATATCCCGTTTTTTTTCAACATCTGATAGCATGAAAAAAAAATAGTCTTTTTTTTTTTACTTTTGAAAACATGAAAAAAAAACTGATTTACGCTTTTTTTTTTGTTATATCGAAAAAGTAAAAAAAACGTAGATCTACTTTTGGAGCACTACGCACGTGAATGTAGATCTGCTTGGACCGTTTACGGGTTAACCAATCCCTGTAGCATTAAGTTTATTCAGGTATAGATACACATAAATTATCATACACAGCATCACATGTGTAGATTATGTAAGATAACTTAAAAAAAGTAAAACAAGGTGACTTATTTCCATTATTATTATTATTAAAATCAAAAGTAAGTGCTAAACCCACAAGGGTCACACAGCACTGCATCAAGCATCAATTACTCCAGCATTTCAAGTACTGTATTGATTAATGCCTAGTAAACATCAACCCTCACTACAGCACTGTATTGATGACCTCTGGGGACTTGTGCCACATCAACTGCCTTAATTATAAAGCAATTTATACACAATATTCTAATTATAGAGCATTTTAACTCAATGATCTAATTATAGAGCATTTTAACTCTCAATGATCTAATTATAGAGCATTTTAACTCTCAATGATGTAATTATAGAGCATTTTAACTCTCAATGATGTAATTATAGAGCATTTTAACTCTCAATGATATAATTTTAACAAGGTGATTTATTGATCTTATAATTTATATTCACGGGGAGACGCTAAACCCGTATGGGGTGGACACTGCGACTGAGAGATGGGAGGGGAGGGGAAGGGAGGGGAGGGGAAGGGGGGGGAGGGGAAGGGGGGGAGAGGGGCAGGGGAGGGGAGGGGGATAATCGGATTTGATCCGAGGAAAGAATGGCTTCAGTTCCCTGGATCAAGTACATGTACTTGTAGAAATAAAAATGATTATTTTTTACTGAAGGTTGTTTGAGATTTTGTGGTGGCGAGGATTATTATTATAATAAAAAAAGAAGCGCTAAACCACAAGGGTCATACAGCGCTGCTGGTGGCGAGGAGACACAGGTTCACCTGGAAGTATATTTCACCTGTTTGTGGCTGCTCTAGGGACGCCCAGGTGAGAGCAGGGACTCACCTGAACACAGCAGACAGCAGTGGCGGCAGCAGACAGCAGTGACAGTTGTGGAGTCAACGAGATGACAGCTTCCCTCTTGTTGGGGTTGTTAAGGGCTATTTAAAGCTTGAGTCTTGACTCCCGCCAGGCCGGGAAAAATGTTACGATGGCAATTATAAGGAAGACAAAGCTTTCGAATAGAGAAATGAGGATAATAAGTTTCCAAATGAGTCAGGAGGACCATGTTGCATGATTATTATTATTATTATTATTATTATTATTATTATTATTATTATTATTATTTTATTATTATTATTATTATTATTTTATTATTATTTTTTTATTATTATTATTATTATTATTATTATTATTATAGAGTATGTAGGAAAGGGGAATTTTTTTCCAGTAAAAGTAGGGCCTTAGACAAGGATGTGTGATGTCACCGTGGTTGTTTAATATATTTATAGATGGGGTTGTAAGAGAAGTAAATGCGAGGGTCTTGGCAAGAGGCGTGGAGTTAAAAGATAAAGAATCACACACAAATGGGAGTTGTTACGGTGCTCTTTGCTGATGACACTGTGCTCTTGGGGAGATTCTGAAGAGAAGTTGCAGAGATTGGTGGATGAATTTGGTAGGGTGTGCAGGAGAAGAAAATTAAAGGTGAATACAGGAAAGAGTAAGGTTATGAGGATAACAAAAAGATTAGGTGATGAAAGATTGAATATCAGATTGGAGGGAGAGAGTATGGAGGGGGTTTGAACGTATTCAGATATTTGGGAGTGGACGTGTCAGCGGTTTGGGTTTCTATGAAAGATGAGGTGAATCATAGAATTGATGAGGGAAAAAGAGTGAGTGGTGCACTTAGGAGTCTGTGGAGACAAAGAACTTTGTCCTTGGAGGCAAAGAGGGGAATGTATGAGAATATAGTTTTACAACGCTCTTATATGGGTGTGAAGCATGGGTGATGAATGTTGCAGCGAGGAGAAGGCTGGAGGCAGTGGAGATGTCATGTCTGAGAGCAATGTGTGGGGTGAATATAATGCAGAGAATTCGTAGTTTGGAAGTTAGGAGGAGGTGCGGGATTACCAAAACTGTTGTCCAGAGGGCTGAGGAAGGGTTGTTGAGGTGGTTCGGGACATGTAGAGAGAATGGAGCGAAACAGAATGACTTCAAGAGTGTATCCCGTCTGTAGTGGAAGGAAGGCGGGGTAGGGGTCGGCCTAGGAAAGGTTGGAGGGAGGGGGTAAAGGAGGTTTTGTGTGCGAGGGGCTTGGACTTCCAGCAGGCATGCATGAGCGTGTTTGATAGGAGTGAATGGAGACAAATGGTTTTTAATACTTGACGTGCTGTTGGAGTGTGAGCAAAGTAACATTTATGAAGGGATTCAGGGAAACCGGCAGGCCGGACTTGAGTCCTGGAGATGGGAAGTACAGTGCCTGCACTCTGAAGGAGGGGTGTTAATGTTGCAGTTTAAAAACTGTAGTGTAAAGCACCCTTCTGGCAAGACAGTGATGGAGTGAATGATGGTGAAAGTTTTTCTTTTTCGGGCCACCCTGCCTTGGTGGGAATCGGCCAGTGTGATAATAATAAAAAAAAAAAATATTATAATCAAAGGAAAGCACTAAACCCGTAGGATTATACATCGCCTGTGGGGAATGATGGAAGGTATTCAGGGTTAATTCAGGGAATTGGAGCACAGCTCCAATTCCCTAGATCAAGAGCCCCTCACCAGCGTCAAGGAACTTCCCTTGAGGGGAACTAAGGTAGAGCCAGACACGCATGTACACTCCAGCCTGAGTCAACAATATCAGGTTTACTCTTGTCTTATGAGTTTAAACATGGCGGCGGCCAGGAGCGGCAGACCGAGGCGGTGTATGAGGAGGATAAACCTCCAGGGGAAATAAAATATGGGAAATTCAACACTAATGCTCAAGGCAGAGGTTGAACAAGACATATATACTACACCATCGCCCACACAGAGGTCCTCACTGACCTCACATCATTGTCGACAGACTTTGCTGCTGTCTTTCCCAATAATGACTTTGGCTTAAGCATTATCAACTCCGATAATTATTTTTTTATCAAAATATTTCTATTATTAATCAAATAATACTCTATTACAGAGACAAAATTTATTATATCTAGCTGTAATGAATATTTGAATATAGCTACTAGCCACGACTTGCATCTTAAGCCAAAGTGAATCTTTAAAACACAAGAAGCGGCTTTGAGAGAGATTGCATATGTAAAACAATTAATATAGCCCTTGTAAATAAGTTTAAGTTACAGGTTCACATAACTACAATTATCATACAGTGTAAATTACATAAGATAATAAAAAAATCAATGACTTACTTCCATTGTGGTCCTTTAATCTTGTGTCCCAGGATGCCACCCATACCAGTCCATTAACACCCAGGTACCTACTTACTGCTAGGTGAACAGGGACAGCAAGTGTATGGAAACATGCCCAACGTTCCCAGTCACCCGGGTATCGAACCCCGGTCCCTCAGTGTGTGAGCTGAGGCCGCTACTAAATGCGCTCTATAGCGGTTGCCTAAAGCTTTTTCTTTATAACTAGAGAACGCCTCACTCGATCGGCTTCAAATTTTCAAACCCTAGTATATGGTAACTAGGGAAAGTCATGAAACTACTGGCATGTGTAGGTGGTAAATATTATATACAGAATTGCCTGTATGGTTTCAGTGCTCTAACTTGACAAAGCCTCTTCTGAATAGCTCCAAACTTTTAACACTGGAGTAACTGACCATAATTTATAAAGGGGTGCATCCGTAAGCCAGCGAAAGGCCTCGATCAGGTAACCAAAAGCCCCAACGGCGGGTCATCTTCTAAGACCCGCTTCAGGAAACACCTGTCCTGTTTCCTGACAAACTTTACCTAACCTAACTGAAGTATCCTACATAAAAACATAAGAAAGAAGGAACACTGCAGTAGGCCTACTGACCCGTACCAAGTCCTTGTCAAACCCAAACCCATTAACATAAGAAAATTAAAAAGGGAGGAAGAAGTAGGATACCGTTATTGCGGTGCCAATTTAATATACTATGTACCCCATACCCATCCTGTGGGCAGTAGTCGAAAGATTACAGAGGTGCATAATGGGTCCAGGGACTGGACCACAAAGTTTTGCAAGTTGAACAAGTTATTGCAGTGTAGGCCCCGAGTTGCGATTTTTCAAATTGTATATTGAGTAGGCTTAATATACAATTTTATATATTGATTAGGCTTCAATTCTTTTAGAAAGACACAAGTAGCAATTTGAAACTTAATTTATATGACGTTTCACCAGTCAGGGAGGCTTTATGAAGCCTGATAGATCATGTCTGGTTCCACCAGTCAGGGAGGCTTTATGAAGCCTGATAGATCATGTCTGGTTCCACCAGTCAGGGAGGCTTTATGAAGCCTGATAGATCATGTCTGGTTCCACAAGTCAGGGAGGGTTTATGAAGCCTGATAGATACGTCTGGTTCCACAGTCAGGGAGGCTTTATGAAGCCTGATAGATCACGTCTGGTTCCACCAGTCAGGGAGGCTTTATGAAGCCTGATAGATCATGTCTGGTTCCACCAGTCAGGGAGGCTTTATGAAGCCTGATAGATCATGTCTGGTTCCACAAGTCAGGGAGGATTTATCAAGCCTGATAGATCATGTCTGGTTCCACCATTCAGGGAAGCTTTATAAAGCCTGATAGATCATGTCTGGTTCCACCAGTTAGGGAAGCTTTATCAAGTCTGATAGATCATGTCTGGTTCCACCAGTCAGGGAAGCTTTATCAAGCCTGATAGATCATGTCTGGTTCCACAAGTCAGGGAAGCTTTATCAAGCCTGATAGATTATGTCTGGTTCCACCAGTCAGGGAAGCTATATCAAGCCTGATAGATTATGTCTGGTTCCACCAGTCAGGGAGGCTTTATAAAGTCACAGATCAATGGATGATACATATAAGCAGGATTGCATCCACTAAGTTTAGACTGTGTAGATACAAATTTGTCAGCGTAATAACAATTAGATTTTATATAATAACTGGAAAATGCATCTTCTGATAGGTTTTAAATTATTTTCACTGGCGTGTCTTATTTAGAGGAATATTTAACATTTAAGGCTCCAGTTTGTACGTTTTATTTGTATTTTTTTTTAATATCGTACTTTTCTGGAGTACTATGGAATTTGGATTTTAAGCTTAATAAACAGATTTATAATTAGATGATGGTTTAGATGACGTTAAATTATATATAAAACCCAAAGAAAACTTAAATGTTAAGCCTAATTAAAAAGTATCCATTATTTTTTTTACAATGCTATTGTTTATTAGTATATGTGAGTTATAGTAAGGTCAGATTGTTGATTTCTGTGATATAAACAGTCACTAAATCTTTAGAAAACTAAGTCACCATGGTGGGCAATGTTCTTAGTAGGCAACGCTCTTGTTTCATACACTGAGTGTCAGTGGTTCGATCACCGGCAGGGTGGAAACACTGGGCGTGGTTCCCTTACACTTGCTGTCCCCGTTCACCTAGCATGCCAGTAGGTGTGACAAATGGTTTGAAAAACCGACAAGTTGAAGATTGAGACACATATGCAGCATATGGGAATCTTTATTCAGGAAACGTTTCGCCACGCAGTGGCTTCATCAGTCCAATACAAAGAGGAAGGCGTAAGGAGAGGAGGAGTGTGAGGTAATCAGTCCCTCAGCCTTCCTCTTTGTATTGGACTGATGAAGCCACTGCGTGGCGAAACGTTTCCTGAATAAAGATTCCCATATGCTGCATAAGTGTCTTAATCTTCAACATGCCAGTAGGTACCTGGGTGGTAGTGGACTGGTGTGGGTGGCATCCTGGGTTATCCTGTGCAGCTAACCCTCCCCCGGGTTAAAAATTGACTTGATTGCCTTCAAACTTTCACCACAAAATGTAGCCTGTTTATAATTATAATAAAAAATGAAGCGCTAAACCTACAAGGGTCATACTGCATTCTGCTTGTAAGAAAGTTACATTATTGGAGTGTGTGGGTGTCAATTTTACCATAAAAAACATACAAGGTGTTTTTTTTAGTGAGATCAACTGTGAATATCTTATCTGATTTGGGTTGAGCAAAATCAGTTAAAATTATCACGAGACGCATCAGTTATTTAGATCAAGAGCCCATCACCAGCATC